TTGTAATCAATAGAACCAAACTACAAACTTTTATTTTGCATATTTTGTCATTATTTTTTTTTTTTTTTTTAATATGTTTTTAGCTTCAAAGTCTATGGAATGTGCTTTCAAATAACTAAAATTAATGCAATTAGAAAAATACTATTATGATTTAATAATTCGAGCCAAAAAAAAAAAAAATAGGAAAAATTAGGTTTACTTGACAACGAATTTTCAGAAACACGTATTTGACGGATAGAGTATGGTCGGTGAAGTAGCAAGAGATATCAGACATTCCGTTCGTGAATAACATAGATTAGGTTATTTTCAGACTTATAATAATATGATAAACGAGTTAGAAATAAGAACTAAAAATTTTACGTATTTTCATAAACTGTTTAATTTCCTTCAACCATATAAATTTAAACATATTACTAATGATGAATTAGATTTACATACAAAAAATTTAATTTCCAAGTATAAATATAATTTTCAACCTATCTAAAAATTAATATAAGAACATTAATTGACTATTACTTTATTGACGGTATACAATACCATGATGATGACGAACATAGTGTTTACACGCACTTGAAATTTATAACTGATTTGAAATTAGAAGATAAAAGAAATGCAACTTCTATGTAGAATATTTCTTACGTTAACAATTAGTACTTTCAGTGCAGAGAGATTAATGAGCTCATTGAAAAAAATCAAATATCACCATAGATTAACATTGAGTGAAAATTGTCTTAATGATTATTCAATGATTTACATAGAAAGAGATACAGTAGAGTTAATAGATTAACAATCTACCATCAACATTTTTTCAGAAAAAAAAGCCACAGAAAAGGTTCTAAAAGTATATTAAACATATAAATAGGTATCTTATTTTGTATTTACGTTTATCAATAATATTAATTTTCAATTGATATACGAATTGGTAACATAAATTAATTTAAAATAATTGTTTTATCATGTATTCTTGAATTGATAATTAATAACAATTAATAATGACAGTTCATTAGAATTTAAATAAAATTTGTATTTATAATTTGAATGTTTATAAGTTGTTCTTAAGTGATTGAAGCAATTTTTTTTTATGAGTTAGAGTTGAAAGTATTACGTCAACAATTAAATAATTATCTCACCCAACCCTGTTTGACATTTTATAGTTAAGTGGAGGCGTAGGCCTTAATTTTAAATGTCCGACCGAGCAAATTTTTTTTTTTTTTTTTTTTAGATCTGCCACTGGTATAAATGCATGTATATTTCGAACGTTTAGTTTAAATAATTCCGGGCCCTAGTAATAAATATATTGTTAACTGAATAAAATATATTTTAATGAATATAACATATTTTATTATTATGATAGCAAAAAAAAAAAAAAAACGAAATATAATTAAATAAGATTTAAATATTAAATGGTAAATTGTTATTTGTTTCAAAGTAAATTAGTGTTTTAAAACTTTATATAACGCACTTTTCATAAAAAAAATCGTTCATAACACTTTCTAAGTTTTATTTCATAGTATTGTTCACAAGTTATCTACATAAGGTTTTCCAAAATATCTTCTTATTGATACCTCAGCTGCACCACCGCGGCCCTGCGCACTAGCCCACCGACAAATAAAAGGCCTGGATTAATGATTGCATATCAACATTTGCACTATATTTAGTAGTAAATAATTGTTGTATTAACTGACAAAAACCATTACACTAAGCAGCAAATAAGCAATTGGCACGTGCTAAATATTTAATAGTAAAATTATGTAGGTACCTATTTTAATGTAGACTGAGTAAATGCAGTATAAAATATAACTTACCACCACCACATATGAGTAACACCGCCCACACACTGACCCACTCAAAATATTGACATAGGGTCTGGCGCCACTTGCGGTGCCTGTTTACTGTTGATATATTATAAATGTTATTTACAATTGTAACACTATAAATGAATGCGACAAGATTACATAATATACGGCCCACGATAACGATGAATGAACGACAGATGACACAACACGACACAACACGATGAGTACACTCTATATGTTTAGTTTTCCACAGCCGATATTGCATAAAGCCTTATGTATAAAAAATATATAAATAATATAGGATAAAATGTGGTGTTGGTAATATCAATGATATCAAACCCGTTATTTGTATTATACCTCCACGTATAAAATGTATAAAAAGACTAAAACGTATAATATATTTTGTTTTTGAAACCCACTCTTAAAAAATTAAAAATTATTCCTATTTCAGATATTAATTTAGTATTTTAATTTTAATACTTAGTAAAATAATTAGTAGTAAAAAATTATATGTTATATAAATTATAAACAAATATTTTTGTTTATATTTATATATTATTATATTCATATTCTAAAAAATTTAAAAGTTAATAATATGAAATATTTTATACATATAAAATAAAAGTATTTTTATTTCCTTTAATAATTCAATTCTATGAAATACATAAAACAAATAATTACCCATATACAATTATTAAAACTAAAATATTAACATTATCTATTAAATACTTTAATTTTTCGTCTTTAATCTCAAAATATAAAAATACTAAAACTCTTTACTTTATTAATTTATCACTATTTTTTACCTATTAATAGGTTGGGCAAGGTAACTAATTTTTTTAACTCGTTAAGTTGAGTTAATATAGAAAATTGTAAGTTAAGTTAAAAATTAAAAGTTGATTTTCTTTTTAATTAAAGCCACTACAAACCTATAAATGTTTCATCATAACAACCTTAGCGACTGACAACAATTAAGATATTTCTAGTAATGCAATTTAAAAATTATAAAGATGTTTGAATTAGTAAAAAAGTCTACGTTGCATTGGTTGGAGCATATTTTAATATCTTTTTAATATATTCAATATTAAAAATTGACAAATTTATAAAATGCAAAATGTTTATTTTCGTTAAGAATTTACTGAAGTTGAAAATTTGCTCCGACCGATGCAAAGTAAACTTGTCAATGTCCACATTGTTAATATTTTTTGTAAATGATTGCTCACCATTATCGGTATTTCTTCGACGATTTATTGGATAACCGTCGACATTGATGATCGTTTGTGAAATATGTGTTAGTGAAATCTAAATTTAAATATCTAATATATATAATTTAAATTTGCCCCTTAATGTCTTGCTGGCAATGTTCAAATAGAAATTTTTTTTAACTTAATTTATATACAAAAAATGTTATTACATATTACTAGGGCTTAGAAGTTGATGACCTTCGAAACATTTAAATATGACCTAAAAAAATATGCAAATATGACATAAAAATTACAAAACATGACATAAAAAAAATCACAAATATTTGTTTTCAATTAATAAAAATACATTTCGTTTTTTCAAATATTTTACACCATTTTAATTTAACATTCTATATAAATTTATCAAAACTTACAAATTACTCAAAGAATGACATAAAAATGACAACTGTTGCCGTCGTAAAGTGTTATCGGTAATATATGCTTGAAGAACACGGCGGCGGTGACTCGTCGTTATCTGTTTCCCGTTTCTTCTTTTTCGGTTTTCACAAACCGTATTTGCAAAAAATTGAGATGGCATATGCAAATTTAATAGCTTTCTTTCCATGCTCAAAGACGTACCCAATATACTGTACGGGTCCATACATTTTAGATTTAGTTAGAATAGCCAAAAAATGTTGGTGAGGAAGTGGTTGAATAACCTAATATAAACACCCACTCAATATACTCTTGGCTCCACCTGATAGGTTATACTTTTTTGTTTATGTTTCTGTATCTTCTATTTTATCTCACACAAATTTTATTCCTTCTGAACAAGTTTTGTAAGAAAGTATGTACAAGAAAGTCAAATAATTAACCAAAACAACGAATGGAACTAAAGTTTTCCATAGGCATTTTGATTATATATTTTACAGTTCTCAATACCACATTTCATGTTCCAAGTCATTAAAGTGGTCGTTTGAGAAAGGCATTAATTGCGATTGCCCCCTCTTAAGGCTTTTTTTTTTACTTTTTTGCAGAAGATTAAAAAATAATAAGTGAATTAATAATAATAATAATAATTTAACTTATAATCATCTTTTTTACAGAAGATATGATTATAAGTTAAATTCCATTATTATAACTACTCACTTATTATATTTTTCCTACCAAATACGATACCAAATTTTTAAATTACAATTGAAACCGTTTCTAACATCGATACCACGTTCTGTATTACAATCATAAGCGGTCTATAAACGTTCAGTCTTCAGTTCAAACTTAACTGAAAATGTATGTAAGTCAGGACATAAGATCGACTACACACTACTAGTATTGTCTGTCAGTTAAGTCCGATTACTATTATTGATATGTCTAAAAACTGAATATGTATAGATAGCTATAGGTAATAAAGAAAAATATATTATTGTTATAATCAATAGTTAATATTCTGTGTTAATAATTTATTTATATTATACTTTATAGTTCATGGTTGATAATGTTGTTTAGTTTAGAATGATTAATATATTAGAATAGTGATAGTTTTGATGTTAATATGTCAAAATCAAATGCACGCACAGATTTCGCCCCACCTCTGACAAATTACCTCAAAACGTCATTGAGTAATTTATGTTATTTTAAATTCTCAATTTAAAATTGAGTTCATTTAAATTAAAATCAATAAAAATCAATGTTATCAATGAAATGATATACTATAATACTAACAGCTGCGGGTACTTAATATGTGAATAAGGATGAAATAATCAAATTCCAAATTAGATCAATCGAAGTACTACTTGGTAACCTCTTAAATTAAATCCTTTTAATATCTACATCCAGTCAGAAAAATTTTCAATTTTTGAATTTTAATATTTTAAGGTAAAATTTAAAAACTGAGTAAACACCTATTTTATTTGAAAAGCGTTATATTTATATAATTTCAACATGACCTTAACAGTAATTTTGTTGATATATATATAAATGGTAATTCTGCTATATATAATATTACTTTAATTATAATTACTTTTAATTAACAGTCGAGCAGTTGCCATCGTCGAATGTCAATGACCATTAATCGCTGGTTATAACGATTATTAAAAATATTAACTATCTCGATAATGCTTTTTTTAATTTTTATCGACAACATTTTAACGAAATATTTTCTCCTCCTTGAACGTTGTTTGATTTGGAACGTCGTGACTTTCATGCGAATTTATTTTCCGATTAGACATATTTCTCTAGAACTCTATTTTCTGTATTCCAGATGTTTTCATACGCTAACATTTGTGTGATGGTATGAATCTGGTGTAGTATTAGGTAGCGAATAGGGGGCCTCACTACAATATTCCCACAATTTTATAAATATGCATCGTTTTATTTGTTGAATAAAATACATTTGAAAATGATTAAAACAATATTATTACACTCTGTTTGTATGCCATAATATCGACACCATTGGCTCCTAAATAAAAGCACCATTACTTTTATTGACTTCTACTGGTTCAACTACTAGGTGTCCAAAAATAATACAAATACATAGTACATAAAATACTTATAATATACATACATGTATGTATAATATTGGTGATAAAATTATTTTTTATTTCAATTTTTATACGTTGAACATACATCTCCTCCTGATTTGTACAAGTTTTAAAATGTTGGTAGATGCGTCGCGCATACTAAGATCACACGATAAACGTGTGCATATATTACGATGTTATGAATACTGTACCTACAGTGTGGGAATCAAGTGTTGAGCGACCAAAGTGCGACTACTAATCCGCAAGGAAATAATACGAAAAAACGATCGGCTGACACAACGCGTGTTGTTAACCATATCTTCGATGCACGTTGAGACGAAATAACGACAGCGATACGAATTGCGGTTGAAAACAAACGAGATTACGATGTACAATCTAGCAGTTCTGCGCAACATAGCCTCGTGTACGATTTATATACCTATTTAAGTATAGGAACGACCGACCGGTCCCGGGGAACGGTTCTGGGTACGTTTCGATCGGCGGCGGGAACGGCTGCGCACGGAAGCGCAACAGGTGTCGACGCGAAAGCAAAACGCGCGCGCGTCACCCGACGGTGCTGTACCGAATGCGTGTTGCGTATGTGCACTACTGTTGCGCCGCACGACTGTTGCAACTACGCGCGACACTACCGATGACGTGGCAGCAGCTTACGGGGGAGCGGGAGAGGGCGAAACGGTGTTGTACAAAAATAATTATACCGTCGCCAGTCGTCCGCGGAGCGATTGCGACGCGCGACGTAACGTAAAAAAAATCAATTTTCGTGCGCGCGAAATAGTCGAATAGGTCAGAGCGTTTCCCAAACTGCCGGACCCCTTAATACAAATAACAGTTTAAAAAAATAATACTAAATTAATTGGTTTACTTTCTGAATTAATTGCACATATTTTTATGATAAATAAAAATATCTGCCTCTAATCTTAACAGCTTTTCAACGATAACTACTCGTATTCCGACAATGTGTTTCGCACATAATACGAATATTACATCAGTATTTTTCGTTTTCATACTTATACTTACTGTATTTTTAATTTATATTCGCGGATCTCCCTGGTACACGTGCGGATCCCTCAGGAGCGGATCCAGACCAAAATAATGGGGGGGGGGGAAATTTTTAACAGACACACGTGATATAGATATTTATATAGATAAAATTAATAAAATATTAATTTTGATGTAGGTTATTTATTCGAATAAAAAAGTCTAAAAAAAAATTTTATATTAATAAAAATAATAATTTTTTTTAGTTATACCAATATGCGTCATAACAATGTAGTTTATAATTACAAATTTGTTGATTATTGAGGTACCGAACGATTTTTACGTTGATCGTTATCAGTTATCACGTTTCGGAAACACCGGCAAACACAAAACTTGGTTACGAATATTTAACATCATGATAGTAGTATATAATTGTGATATCAGTATATCACTAAATAATAAATATAAGTGATAGCGTAGTACCAGCATAAGTTTGGTATAAAAAAATAGTTTAAGATTTCCCTATTTACCCTTGAAGTCATTACGTCAAAAACTAAAGCCAGCTACGGTGAACGAGGGGGGGAGCGATCGCCCCTGGGATCCTTAGGGGTCTGCGGACAACAGTTTGGGAAACGCTGGAATAGGTAGAGATAAAACCTAATAATAATAGATAAGTAATATGTACGGTTTAGACGGTTGAAAATATACGTTTCGGAGACACTCGTGTTGGTAGCGGTCAGCCGCTCCGAATTTCAAGTAAATTTCAGTTATGATATTTACAATAATATATTTATTATAAATATATATGTTAATATTATTATTATAATAAATTTCACGTTTGACTGTTGACGCAAGCGCGCGCGTACGTGAGGGTCCATCTGTGTGTGTGGGTAAATAGGGACGAGCAGAAACAAGCGATGAAGTTGAGTAAACAATAGTTTCATTCGGGCACAAATCAGCCTTTCCGTGGGAGGAGGCACGTTCGTTGTGCTTTTTTTTCTATTCAAACTCTCTAATACAAATATTAATACAAACTGTCAATAACCGATCGGTCGAACAGCGTGTGTTTATGATATAAACAAAGTGTATACATTTTAAAATTTCGTAAATATCCATTTTGTACGTATACATTTTTACTTCGAACGAACAAATTTCACGACAGTTTTTACTAATTTTTTATTGACTTATATTTGTATAAGTTAATGTATGATTAAGTTGTATAATGTTTGATACAATATATATTAGTTATTTTACTGAACAAATAAAATTAAGAAAACAAATGTGTACCACAGGCAGCGGTAAATGTATATGTTAACATATTAGACGGCGTGAAGTGCATTTTTTTAAAATGAATTAATAGGTTAAAATTAGAGGCTACGATGATAAGTTTCGTTTCACGACAAAAGTTGCCACAACTAAATCACAACGCATTAGTATACGAACAAATATTTGAAATACAGTTTTAGTAACGAAACCGTACAAACGTTCATTCCCACTGCTCCGGGACGTGTTCGTCCCGGAATCCGTTCGAGTGCAAGAAAACAGTTATCTATTGAATTTTAAATGCGACCATTCTCACTTATCCGAGACGGGTCCGGGATCAAAAACTATCGTTGGACATGGTACTCTTTCCAGGTTCCCGCACGTATTCAGGCCGGATCTGAAATTACCAGATAATGGTAGTAGGCTAGGTTTTATAAAAAAAAAAAAAAACTGTTTTACATTAATCATGAACTATTATATTATATTAATGATTATTAATTATGATATTATATATTTAATACTTACTTAAAAACTTATTTGCTCTGAGAAGTATTAATTTTATAATTAAATTAATATTATAAGATAATATTAAATTCTGTTTAAAATGTTCACACTTAAATAAAACGTACAAATACATGATTTTTATTTCGATAGCGACTGATGACTAACGTGAAACTGTAAGTTGTAAATAAAATAAAATTGTAAACTCGGACGGGACTCGGACCAATGCTAATGCCTAATCCGAGTCAACCCGTACCCGTCGTTTTGTGACACGGACACGACCCGGACCAGTGGGAATCGACTTTAATAAAGCCATGTACACAATTGAATAGTAAGCAAACACCTGACGCGATAATGAGATAATAACAATGAGTTTTAATCCATTTTTTGCTCGTCGAACAGAATGCCAGAGGACTCCAGAGAGTAAACTGGAAGTACCTCGAACTTAGCGTGAGCCTTTGAAACGGACTACAGGCCAGGATTAATGACGATAACTGAGGGCCTGTTCTACAATAGCAGTGGTAAACTCGAGTTTAGCTCAATTTATTATTACGATTAATATATCGTTGCGAATTATATTGTGTCGTTATATTCATAACATAAAAATACAAAAAAATTAAATTTTCAAATAAACATTGAAGAGTAATCACAGTGTATCTTGTTTATCATAATACTACTGTTTGTTATCGACATTAATAATCACAACCAATGAAATTGCAGATCAATTTCTAAACCAAGTTTAACCCGCCGATATTGGTGGTTTAAAAATCAGTAGTTTAACTTCGGTTTAAACCATTGGTAATCGATTGTAATACGGTCTTTTAAATTTATACCAGGTTTAAATTTCAATAAGAGTTTAAACTACTATTGTAAAACAGGCTCTGAATCGTGTACATGTTGCATTATTATGGCACGAGTCTGATAACCGTCAGCAAACGTTTTATCTTGTATATTAATATTGTATCATTGTATTCAATAGACTCACAGTTCAGTTTATTATACATTTGTACGGTGTAACTATTGGTATGCAGTTTTAATAAAAATTATACAATACGATCTTTTTCGCGTGGTTTAATGGCCAAGATAGTTTATGGTATTTTCATAAAGAAATTGGAACTATTAATTTTTTTGCATCAAATGTTTTATTTTTTGAAATTTATAACGCTCTTCAACTAATCAAATCCAAAAAAATGATAATAAAATCATAAATAAAATGTATCCTGATGACGATTAGGTATGTACATTATATTTCTGTAACTAAACATTAACCTCGTACATTTTAATCAACACTTGCGAAAGCTTTTCCGATTGAAAATTGAACTCATGTTCGATTTTCTTAGTGACTAATTGAGAAGAATCTGTTTCCGTACGGTACTTATCGGCGTTACCTTTTTCGATCTTTTTCACGACACGATAACGTACGGTATTTTTGTGTAACGTTGTCTCGCAAATCACATATAGACGAAACTGGAAACGATATTAAATTATTGTCGTGAAATAAAAGTTTACACTACTTATAATCGCTGTAGATTTTATTAGTTGACTAACGAACATTGATTGAACGAAGTAAAATGGAAAACATGGTAAATAAAAGAATAAAAATAATTACGTTGGAACGCGGAAAAGACGTGGAATTAATTAGTACAAACATCGCTTTTTAACACAGCTTTATACTCAAATACGGGTTATTATCAATATTTAATATATTATCCTCTTTGACTTACACAGTTAGAGATTTTTTTTGAAACTTTTACAAAACATATAAAGAACAATTAATTGTCGAGAGTTTTAATTGAAACCAAATTTAGTTGAGACCGATACAGTTAATAGGTTAATGACTCATTTTCAACAGATAAAAAAGCTAGAGCAGAAACATCTCGAGATCATGATTTTTCATAATAAGCCAAATTCTAATTGTAAAAATCCTTTAAGCTCAATATAAGATTGAAGAAATTAAATGTATTTACAAATCTAATAATTATACTCTACAAAAGGTATGATTTTCTTTTTTGAAATTATATCGAATATTATCTAAATGCCATTGGGTATTGGTTACTAATGTGTACGATAGCACTCTATTCATGAACTGGATATTATTCAATTCAAAATTTCAAGTATTTCAACAATTGTTATAGTATACACATATTAATATCATTAATAGTTATAAAAGTTACAATTTTTATATTATAGGTTGGAAAATTGAATAAAATACAGGGAATACACTTAATTTACATGAATAGAATATTTATTGTTTATGTCTATTACTTATATTATTTATTGTTTTTTTTTTTTTGTAAATTGTCTAAATATTCTTACTATTATTGACAAATTCGACAACGTTACATACAATTTCTTACGCAATCGTGTTGCTGTAAAGAACAAATGTACGCAATCGTGTTCTAAACATATGATGTATGTATATTAGGGTGGCACTTTTTTTTGTTTTTAACTTTCTCATGCATTAATTTTGTTCTATTTGCTTAAAAAATGATGTTAAAATATTAAGTCATTTCATAAACATTAAAAGGTAGCTCAATGAATTTAAAAATCTTTATATGAAATAAATTATAAAAAAAAGCTTAAGTCGTGTTGTAAATAATAAATTTAATTACTTATACTTATTTATAACTATAATTTATTACTATTATTTTAAAAATTACAAGTTTTATTAATACATAAAAATAAATCACATTTTTAATAAAGTCGATTTTTTGGCTTCCGGAAAATCTTGTTTGTATTTTCAACTACTTGAAGAAGATATTGTTGTTGATCTTCTTGATTAGTATGAGTGCCATTAAAATATGTCATTAATACTATGCCCCTTTCAGTAGCATCATTAACAACTTTAAGTTTTTTTATTTTTTCACAGCCATCAATATATTCAATATTATTTATCCAAGCATTTGGAAACGTCATTAAAAAGTCGGTTTTAATGTTATGAGCCGTACATAGTTTATATGTATTATTTGTTACAAAGTCATGTAATTCACTAGTTAGAATACAACGTACTAGGAGCTTTAATCTTTGTTCAGGATAATCAGTCCCAATTTTATCTAAAGCTGTAACCATTTGGGCTTTAATATTATCTGGTATTCGAGAGTCAAAAAATGCTAATCCAATTAATGTATCATTAAGATACCACAAATGACTTAAAAATACTTTTAATACTAGTTTGTAGATACCATTACTTGAATTTTTATACATAATAAGATATTTTATGAAATATAAATCATTTAATGGTGCACCTGAAGCATCATTAGAAATATATCATACTTTTAAATATACTCTCATTATGAACAGAGTAAAATGTTCCAAGTTCAATAGTTCGGTTTTTTTAAGTTCAAATTGTGACCGAAATAAAAACATTTTTAAACAATAAATTATTTTAGCCATCCATCTAGCTCGATGACAAGCTCCTGGCTTTCGAAAATTGTTATTTTCTGGTTGTTCTTATCCAAGAATTATTAAAATATCGTAATAATATAATATAAATTAATAATTTTTACATTCTCAAATAAGTATTTTATATAGTTTTGTACACTTGTATTATACTAAAAGATTAAATAGGGAGATTATCTATATACTATCGATGAAATTATCATCGGGAAAAATGTATGACTGTAGTCTATATCTAGTAACATTATTGTGGAATTTGACGACGTGCGATGTGTCGGCGCGTGGTGGCGATAAGCACTACGACGTTTTGTAAGCAATTACCAATTATATAATGTTATGTGTTGTCGTAAATTAATAAGAAACTTTATTTTAGTAAATAATAAGTTTAACAATAATATTTATGTACATTTTTAGTGTCACTTTAAAATATAAGAAAATATGCTAAAAAATAAAAATAGCCTCTATTATTAAAGTTTCAACCCTTTTAAGCGACGTGAAGAAGTTGACTTATCATGCTCAAGATTTACCAAAATTATTTATTAAATATATCGAACAGAATTAGTGGGTGAGAGCAACAAATATAAAAGAAAAAAAATTGACCTATATAGCTAAGTGCCACCCTAATGTACATACACGTTCAAGTGTGTTCAAGACTAGAGACAGAGGCAGCTTTAAGGGGGGCCCTAGGAGCCGTGGCCCTCTCCCAACGACGCCCGGACCGTATTTATAAAAAAATGTATATTGTTAACAAAAAATGCACATTATAATATCTACTATCTTATGATACGCACAAGTATGTAGATAGAGCCATAGAGGTATAATGGATGAAAGGAGTTTCTCCACACTTCAGAGATTAAAAACCTGGCTTCGTTCAATGATGACTGAAGATAGACTATCAGCATTATGTCTAATTAATTTATATCATAAAGTAGGTATTCTAGATCAAATAGATCATATTATTGATATTTCTATCAATTTTAAAAATAGATGACTTGAATTTGTGTTGTAAAAATTGTTGTTTTCTTTTTGTTATAAGATTTTGTAAAACTATAACTTGTTCTCCCCCCCCCCTAATCAAAGCTTTGGAGCCACCCCTGACTCGAGAGGCGTTGATTGTCCGGTGGAAATATTATTCGTCACAGATTCCGAAACGTTTCACCACGAGTCTCCTCCGAGAACATTCAATGTGGTCCTTGGCTAAAGGGCTTCCCCACTCTTGTTCCGTTCTCCCTATCGGTTTTATCTCGTTTCGGTCGTTTTGGTTTCTCGAACCCCGATACTGACCGAAACGCGGGGAGGAGAAAGGAAACAAAGTATATATACTCTTAGCTTATAAGAAGGAAGGTTATGTAAGAAACAATCAATAAACCAAAAACAAATATTTTCTCTTGAATATCAACAATGTTGATCAGGATTTCAGCAAAATGGATTAAAACTTTACACAATTTTCCTTTATTTATTTTTATAAATTTAAAGAAAATATATTTTAAAATAAAAGGTATTAATTATTTTGCCTTGGGGAAGCAAGGAATGACAGTAGGTCAGTTGTTATATCGTATACATTTATTTTTATTCAACAATTTGTCTAATACGACTATAAATAAGATAGGATAAATAAACATTAGTGGATTATAATACAGTAGTACACTTTTTTTTAATTTTAATTAAATTAATGTGATACAATTATATAATTAAATCTCGTGACATAGTAAAAATATTTTTTTTGTATAAATATTATAAATACATTTGAAATATCTACAAAAGAGGATAAAGTAACAACTTCATATCTTATTTTAAGAATCGAGTGTTTAAAGAAATGTTTAGCTTAGAATCTGCTTTTCCATAATTACAAAAGTATTGATCACAACTAATCACATACAAATATTTTAATAATAAACCCAATAAAATTATCTGAAAAAAATATTTTTTAAAAACATGATAATAATATATAATTGTTAATTAAGCAAAAGATAGAAAAAAATATCAAAACAAACATTAAAAATGTAATGCTTTATCTTAAATTGATAAAAAATAAAATGAAAAATGTACACAGATCACTTAAAAATTGGTTGTATTAAGGATAACCATAAAATTCTGAAAACCAGTGATGGCAAAAAATAATATAACACATAAAAAATAAATATAAACATTCAAAGAGTATATTATAAAATATTGTTTGATTCCGGAGGTGAGCCATGCACGTGGTAAGTAAAATATTTTCAATAATATAAATATTGTACACAGTTGTGTGCATTTTGATATTATTTTAAAATTGATATTGATAAAAAAAAACTTAATACAAAATTATTGAACAATTTTTTTTTTTACTTTAATATAATTTTATTGAAGAACACTGAAAATCCATAAAATATATATCTTATTCCAAACAATTTAATCAATGCTTTCGATAAATCAGTATTGCGATTTACTTTATGTGCACTCAGTGGCGGCTAGTGTTATGGTGCACAGGAGCACGTGAACCACCCAAAAAAATTATATAAAAAAATTATTAGATTCCTATAGTAAATTATAATCGGTTATTAAATACGTAGTCTGTAATTAATAAAAATGTTTGTTAAAAATAAAAAAAAACGTTTTCCCAGCTTTTCGTGTTGAGAAGTGTGTTTATTGGCCATTAAATAATTACCGGAACACACGTTCGTTGTGCTCCGGGTAGCCGTACAAGTTAGCTAAATGCATGGGCACGTCGATTAGTAGGTAAACATGGTCGTTTGGAGCACAATCGATGTGTGCACCGGACTAATTGTAGTCGTTCCACGTACGCGTCTATCATAGAAACAAGATTTTATGTTTATGTCTCATACATAATAAGTTATTTTTTTTCCAATTTATTTTTATTTTGCCGTGACGAATAGCTTAGGGAACTTGATTAGGGAAACTATATGTTAATAAGTACGTTATATGTACACATACCTATAATTAAATTAAATTTTTTAGCCATGTGTATAGGCAAGGCCGTATCTAGAAATTTTTTTCGGGAGGGGTCCAAAACGTATATATTGTAATTTTATTGAATTTAGATTTTAACTTTTGATATTTGGTTAAAATTAAGACAGAAAAAGACTTAATCTTCTTTAATCTTCTTTTATTAAAATTAATATTACATTTTCATATGATATTATGATATAAAACTAAAAGCAGTCAATGGTTAATTGGAGCTTAAGTCATTTTTGACTGAAAATATTTATGTTGGTATTAAAAATAAATAATTATTTTAAACATTCGTAAAATATTGAAGACATTTCGGTAGGGGAGAGTCCAGACACCCTGGACCTTTTTTGATTTTCTGAATAAAATGCAAGTTTTATTGCCCATACACATATAAAAGTATTACAAATTTGAAAATGGTTCACAAAATGTGAATTTTAGTATTCACAAGCTCCTCAAAAAAAAAACCCATTTCAATCCAAGCTTAAAAACGTTAAATAATATTGACACAAAATCGAACATAAAAAGGCATATTCATTTATATATATATAAAGATAAGCCTATACCGATAGAAATTTCAAAGCTAATATACGAGCTACATACGTAATACTATAATAGTATAATACACTCTGTGGCCCGCGCGCTGAGAAAGCGGAAGTCGCAGTGCAAAATATTTGTACCGTACTGTTACAGCAGTAACAACCTAACACTAGCAATTAGTATAGTTTCATAGTTTTATTTCCAATATGTTAGTCCACAAATAAATTAATATTGAAAAAAATATTTGGAGGAAAATGATATTTATTTGTGGAGCTAAAAGGAATTTTTATTTTTTTTTCGTGGAGGGAAATAAACAGTGGAGGAAACAAGAACCGCCATTTTTGATAATATATCACCACAGTAGCGCTAGATTCGTCGATACGTAGTAGTTTCACCTTACGTACGCGACATGTGAACTGTAGGGACCCAGGGTCGACATTTTCGATTTATCAATCCTCGCGCCATCACACTCATTTTTCCAATTTGGTGTTATCCTTCATTGTGTTTTCATCTTAATTTCTACACGTTTATTTGACTTTTTTGCTCGAATCGTATCTATTCATATTATACTGTTGATTTAATTTTAATTGTTACCCCTAGCTGTAACAATAAATACGAATTTTACCGGATCGAATACCGACACTAGTGAAACACTACGAAACAATCTACGACGTTAACAAGTATCCGGGACGAAGTGAAATAATATCGAGGTAATTGTCTATTTATATATATATTCATGTACTCGTATTTTCATTATTTGATTTAGTTTTCTTTTTGCTTTCGTTTCTTTTGCTTCTTTTAACATTTTTTTTTTTTCTAAGTCAATTTATACTTATACAGCAATAGTATAGTACAATAAATCATACAAATGTCATAATCCAAATCGCGCAAGAGGATTCAACGATGAAGATATCTAGATTTATAATTTAAATTTAGTTGAGCTTTCTTAACGCCTTGATTAATCGTTTTGTATTAATATATAATGATCGTATTTGTAACCTAACTTTAAGATAATATCATGAAATTAAACGGGTTACATTTTAATTTAAATTACCAACTAATGATTTAAAGAGATGTGACACTACGTGGTGTGACGTTACGTTTTCAAGATTCTAAGAGTAAAATAAGATTTCACCTATATTGCAATGTATTTTAACGATGTTGAATCGCAAGGAAATATGTCAGGTGGTTTGATCGTTATTTAGAGTAGCCTTGAGGTTATAAAATTCCTCTTCGATTGTGTGATTTATTCCAGCACGTATCGAAAATTCTTTTCGGAATCTATATACGTGGAAACGAATCATAAAATACATTCTTTTTCGTGGGTAGGATTATATTGTTATTGTTGTCCGACCTTCCATTGTGCACCATAACAACGGTTGTTCCTTTAAGCCATATTACCTTTAAGGGTTCTACGGAGTCTGATTTTCAAATACTATTTTTTTTTTCTTTACCTTTAACATGGAGGCCTATTATTTGAATGTCATGCAAACCACTCGCATACCAATACGTACATATATATATATTTTTTTTATATTTTTTTGAAAAATAAAATGTATTTATTAGCTATTTAAAAAAAAAAAAGGACGTTATTTTTGGGACACCCTTTACGTACATGTCCGATGTAGAACCCACAACCAAATATAATATGATAGCGAATGAAAATAAAATATTATGAAACTGAAATAAGAGAACGAGATACATCCTGGTAGCAGGTTAAAATTAATTACAACCAACGCACAAAAACAAGAATGAAAAAAAATTATGATTTTTGTGGACCATCCATGATGCGAGGTCATGGTTTTCCAATCGCTGAACACACACCCAGGCAAACTCGATTGCAATGCTCGTCAGCTTCGTCATGACCGTTCCAGACAGGAGCGTACCTATGCATTTTTTATGGGGGGGGGGGTTTGTCCAACATTTTTGTTTTAACTGATAATGGGAAATTATATTTCATTTGTATGTATTATACCCTATATACAATTATTATACTATTTTCTATTAAATCATTGAGTATGTAGAAATTTCAGTGGGGGTCTGGACCCGAACCCCTCCTGGGTACGCCCTTGGTTCCAGGTCCCTCTTCTAAAATGAATAGGAAACCGGGTGTCGTGTTGACAGTGCATCCCGCGGACTCAGTGTTAGGAAATATTACTAAAAAAATCATCTAGACAAGATAACAGATAATTCATTCAACATTTATCTAGATAAAATGATAATATATATATAACACCAATTTATTTTATCTTTTTTATTTATAAATAAAATTTTTATTGTTTATACATAAAAAAATTTCTAGATAAAAAAATAGATATATTTTTTTTACTTCTATTATAAATTTATAAATAGTGAATTTGTATAATACACATGTATATGTGTATTATATGTATATTAATGAATTTTTTTAAAATTGCTTATGTTATAACTTATGTGTACCTTTTAAATAAAGTATTTTTAATTTAATACTACATAAAAATATGTAAAATACAAAAATTAATTATACTATAGTGTAATATAGTGTTATTCAAATTTTAATACACAAATTATACCAGGTATAAAATGGTAACATTTAGGAAAAAAATTGTACCTAATTTTTCTTCAATACAAACATAAAAATATTTTACAATTCATTATCTACAGCTCATGTTCCTGTTATAATGATAACATTTTATAATAATGATAGACTAGTAATTTATATTCTTAATTATTTATACATTACATATTTTAAATAAATGAATGTATTATATTAAAAAAAAAAAGAACCATGGGGAGCGATGCCCCTTCGCCACCCCTCAAATACGCCCTTGACACTGAATGCTTATTTAATAAACTATTATCTACAAACGTTGATTTATATATTATTTTAAATATGAATCTTTACATTTAAATTTAGATATTAGTATTTGAAATAGCTGTGTCTTTGTGTATGTCAAAAAAAAAAAAAAATTATTAATATTTATTATGATTTACAACTTAGAAAAAACGATATGATGGAAAATAGAAGTGGAAGAAACAACAACAACATAGAACAAGATCGAAAAAAAATGTATATTAAATTAATAGTATTAGCTATACTACTTCATTCTGCGCAGTCTCAAACGGAGTTCACTTGTCCAGCTGGTACAGTTTCAGGTAATCAAAAGATTCAGTTCAAAATATTCTAATTTAATACAGTCTAATATTAGAAAAAATACAATAAGTGATTTTTAGAGTGAGATTTTTAGGGAGGGAAGGAATTAATATTTCTATGATCACTTTTCATATTGTTAAATTTCGTAAATGAAAATTAATAAAAATTGTATAAAGCTTTCATGTAGTAATATAATAATACGCAGCAAATGGCCCAAAATTGATCGTTCCAAATTGCATTGGTGAAAACTGTTTTACTCTCAAACGAAATCAAAACAAAAATATAAATTATGATACGGTGCACAGGATCACGTGAACCATCCAAAAAAATGATTTAAAATTTTTTTAGATTCCTATAGTAAATTAAAATCGGTTATTATGTACATATCCTGTAATTAACAAAAATATTTGTTAAAAATAAAAAGTTTTCGCAGCTTTTCGTGTTAAGAAGTATGTCAATTAGTGATTAATTAATAATCGAAGCACACTTTCGTTGTGCTCTGGGTGAACGTACAAAAATTAGCTACATGCGTAGAAACGTCGGTTAGTAATTTATGGTCGTTTGGAGCACAACGATGTGTATTTAATATTTAATATAATTAAATAGTACATATTTTTATTGACATTAATTATTTTTGTTCTGATATTCAAGTACTATAAGTAAATAGCAAATAGATAAATATGTGAATAAAATATTTTTGTTTTATTATTTAAAATGTAAGTTAATTATTTATAGACTGATTCAGATTGATATTATTATTAGTAAAAATTGAGATTTTTAATGGTGAAAACGATAAAATATCATCAAGAGTTGAAATCAATTGAGTTTTCATACACAATTTTTTTCATTATATTATCAAAAAAAATTAATTTTTTAACTATATTACATTTTAGGTGCATAGTTTTTAGCATATCAAAGTATTTTTAAAAATATATTTTAAGGGTTTTCTGTACATGTAGCTCCGTTTTATAATTTATACACATTAAAAATACATTTATTTACGTTTGACTTTTTTAGTGCCAACAAGACCGCCTCGAGTTGCTCCTGGAAACTATGAGAGTATCATATTACCAATTAATAATACCATAAGAGACGTCTTCATTTATTGGCAAACTGTAGAAGAAATCGAAATGTGCGATTACTCGTTTGAGTATCGTGCTTATTACGTAACCATGACAAAAGATAATAGAATCATGTGAGTAAATTAGACGAATGGATTCGTAAATGTATTTATTTATTTTCAAAACAGCATGAAGGTGATTAATATTGATAAACTCTATAAACTTATAGACTCTCTAAACTTTTTTTGTTATTTTATCGCATTAGATTTTTTAGATTAGAACTTATTAATGATCGTTTCAAATCAATAACTAATTTATATTTATCAAAGTTACGTATGTGTGTGTTGAATATTTATTGAATGTTTGAATCATAAAATTCAAAATTTGATCGAAAATAAACTTTTTTTTACTTATAATTCAACTCCATATAAAAATACTCACATAGCATAGCGTAATCGACTTAACGTAACGTTAGGGAAAAAAACCTAATAAGTTATTGTCACTAGAACCAGTCTTAAATATTAAACCAAGTACTTTTAATTTTCACAAATATTTACTTGAGCAAGTAAATTAATAATAAGTTATACACGTATATATATTTATGTTTTACAATTTTGGTATATAGCATGCATCCCAGCAACGGAACATCTTTGAATCGAGCCAAGTTTATAGGACTCAGAACGAACACTAGTTATAACTTTAGAATATACTCGGCCAATAAGAATGGCCTGTCGTCAAATTATGCCAGTCTATTTTTATCTAGGGAATCGGATGGTAAGTATTTACACGACATAAAGTTTGAAACTACACAAGTTTAAATTGTGCGAACTACCACTGTATAGAACTCGAAAAACCGTTATCGTTCACATCGAACAAACAGATTGTTGGTCGCTCTAATACATACCAATTGTCGTGGACGAGTAACAGAAGTAAGAAGTTTTCCGCAGGCGATCAACTGGACTATTACACGTTGTATTGGTGTTTGGGTGACTCGAAATATGTACATCAATGCGTTGTAAGTACCACACTCGAGAAATATTAACGTGCCGTCGATATCGAGAGCGAAAAAAATTATTTTCATTAGTTTTTAGTTTCTAATAACTAATTACACATTATAGTTAATATAGTTTGAATTAGGTAGTAATATATATATATAAATATATATATTTTTGGTTTTAAAACCGATTATTCTTATTACCTTCTTACTACAATTTATTTATTTCCCAATGAAAATCGGCTAAACATTATAATGAATAATAATTATTGATGATAGATAATTATAATAACAATAATTAATAATGGATAATAAATTATACATTTATAATTTACATCCTATTTAAATCACACAAAATATAAAATAAAACAAATAAATAAATAGAACAAAATATTACTGTTTTCTTTTTGTATGTAATTGGTAAAAGTCGTCGTAGTCAAAAGTTATTTACACACTGGAATAAATACAGGTTGTTATGTTGTACGGTTGACTTATGTTACGACGGGAGTTTATCGATTCCGCCGTTTTGATATCAATTCCGCCTGTATATATTGATTGCGCCGAATATTTTTATAAATCGATTCCGCCGAAGATTTACAAATGTATATAACATATATATTATAATATTTAAACATTTTCGGATTTTATAAATACATAATTCTGTTTCCAGCAGATTTTCTACTAAATACTGACCCAGTAAATAATATTTTATTCTACTCTACAAATTCTAATTTAAAATTGCTATGCTTTAGTGCCAAAATAATTGTATATGGTACATTTTATAGTTGCCCAAAATATTTCTAACAACTGTTTACGGTTCATATTTTTAAAAATGGTTATTATGTTCCATTATCCTATTTCTTATTGCCAGACAAAAACACAAATACATACACTATTGCATTTAGATGTATGATTAAAACATGATCAGCTCAAAATTTATGTTTCAACCCAACTACAATCGTTGCTGATTAATAATCAGTGATTATTATATATATATATATATTAATATTATTTTTTTATTCTATAAAATGTATATGTTTTTTTTCTTACTTAACTTCGTGCCTCTATACCATCGTGCTAGATATGATATATATATATATTAGTGATGCTCGATATTTTTTCCATTATCGATATCGGTTCATTAATATCGATATCATATCGCGATATCGAAAAACAAACGATATCGATATCGATAAACGATATATCTATATAATTCATTAATTTATAATAATTTATAGACTAATAAAGAATTGATTTTTTTTTTTTTTTTAATTAATATTTCTTATAATAAAAAAGTATAAAAGAAGTTTTCATATTATATTATTATAAACAAAAATTAAAAAATTAAAATTGAATTAAAATTATAGGCACATTATTTATTTATCATCTACTATAGGTATCTCCGAGTGTTGTATGATTGCTTCCTGAAAATATGCAAACATTTAAAATTATTAAGTATTTAGCAATTAATTATTTTATTAGTATGTGTCACTACGACCTCCAGGTAATGGTACTATCTTAATAGAACTCATAATTGTTATTTAATTGTAAAAATCCAATAGTCACAGCTATATACGTCTATTGTAATAGCTTTATCATATTACTTAAATATTCGACGCAATCGATAGGTTTCTTAAGCCGCGCATAGACTAGACCTTAACCGGCTGAATTGACCGAACCGAAAATGCCGATTTTATATGCGAGTACATACACTTGTATCGAACCGATAGCCCGAACCAAACGGAACGTTCCGAAGACGATCACCCATTCAAACTTTAAGATATGAGCAATAAGATATGCTTGACAACAAGCAAATCTTGTTATAAACTAGTATAACTAGTATAAAACAAGTATAATATCTGTCTCCGCCACTAAAAACTCAATGTATTTTATTATCGATTTTTATTTTTTTTCCTTGTCCGCGGACCGCCATTTGGTGATCGCTTCACTACACATTATAAAATATTTCAGTTAAATTGTTTAATCGATGTCATAGGCATCGCATGCGCACATGCATCTGTAGCGCAGGTAGCCGTACATTTATTTATTAACCACTCGTTATTTTCGTCCACCACTAGGATCAGTTGAACTGGTTGCACGTGCCAATATCGGAAACCTCCTACAACCTGGCCGTGCCGAATGACAGCTTCGGGAGGGAGTACGTGTTCGCGATAAGTGTCGACCGGGTGAAGAATAGCTTTAACAGCAACAACACGGTCAGTAGCGGAATCCTATGGGAACCGTGCAAGACGCTGCACTTCGACCCATGTAAGTGTTATGATTAACAATTATAACAAAATCAACAGTTATTGTCCTGCGCCATTCGCCAATGTTGTTCGTCAATTTGTAATTCTGGCGGTTCACGTTTCATTAAAATATTTTGTGATACAGATAATACATTCATTGTGACGAACGTTTGGGCTACGATTGTTTCGTCAACATACATTGGACTGAGATGGAAGCTAGACTGCACCGAAACATTCGACTTGGTGGACGAATTCAATATAATCTACTGTCCCACGATCAGTGGCAACCAGTGCAGCGGTAAGTCGTGTTATTGTTACTATCCCTAATCGGTCTGTAACCGACGACACGGATATTGGTGTGAGGTTTTCAATGGCTCAAGGATTTAATACATTATATGCACCGTAATGTTTTCGTCATTATTGATAAGTGAATGCGATTGCTATACGTGGTTACATTCGTCAGTAATTCGTTATTTTCCGTGTAGTAAAGTTGTGATAAAAGTGACAAAGACGTTGAAAAGTTGTTGGTAAACATTAACAGCAGTATATTTTCGTACTTGAAAGTAACCAAGCGTGCACTATTAACCTCCTTTGTAGACTTTATAGTATTGGATATTGAGTATATTATACATGTTGTTGAGTAATATTATTTTAAATTTAAAGGGAAAAATTAGTGCTCCAATCTTTCGTTAAGTTATATTAACCTTGTACGTGGTCCCTATGTGTTGATGAAATATTGAATGTTCCTTAATTGTTTAAAAAAATATCAACGACTAATTTTTATTGAAATTGTACAAATGTTATATAAATGTTATACTCTGATAATTCTGTAACGATATTAAATAATGTTATATTAATGATAATAATTTATTTCGACAAATGTATAATATAGTTAATTATATGTTGTACATAATTTTAATTTAAATTTTTATTAGACATCAGCATTTATTTTATTTTACAGGAACCCAACAACAAACCACGTTTGACAATAAAAATATGCGTCATGACCGCGTTGCTTTTAATTTTATAACGGGACTGTATCATTCCACTACTTATCTGATAAAAATAGTGATGTATTCAAATTCCAGCCACATGAATTCTATTCCAATTTCCGTAAAAACATTACCTAAAAACACGAAGATCACATAAAATATAAAATCAATAAATACAAATTATTATTTGTATCTACCCATATTTTTTTATTATACTAATAATAGTTTATAATAAAAGTAATAATAATAATAATAATAATAATATAATAATTTTTTTTATATCATTAATAATAATAAAAAATAATAAAAAAATATGTGAAACGAACCAATGGGTTTTTCTGAGCACATGTTATAAACATATTAATTTACATGTTCTATTATTGTAAGTATTTTATAATTAATTTAATATAAGCTGTATTTTTTAAGTCGACAATGATTAACTATTGTTTTTTTCTTTATTTTATCATCATTTGTATGAATTCTACTAGTATTTGTTTATTATAATAAGAATCATATATAATAATAAAAAAATAATAAAAAAATATGTGAAACAAACCAATGTGTTTTTCTGAGCACATGTTATAAACATATTAATTTACATGTTCTATTATTGTAAGTATTTTATAATTAATTTAATATAAGCTATATTTTTTAAGTCGACAATGATTAACTATTGTTTTTTTTTTCTTTATTTTATCATCATTTGTATGAATTCTACTAGTATTTGTTTATTATAATAAGAATCATATATAATAATGAAAAAATAATAAAAAAAATATGTGAAACGAACCAATGTGTTTTTCTGAGCACATGTTATTATAAACATATTAATTTACATGTTTTATTACTGTATTTTATAATTAATTTAATATAAGCTGTATTTTTTAAGTCGAAAATGATTAACTACTACTTTTTCATTTATTTTATCATCAACTGTATGAATTCTACTAGTATTTGTTTATTGTAATAAGAATCATATTTAATAATAGAAAAATAATTAAAAAATATGTGAAATGAACCAATGTGTTTTTCTGAGCACATGTTATAAACATATTCATTTACATGTTCTATTATTGTAAGTATTTTATCATTAATTTAATATAAACTGTATTTTTTATGTCGAAAATGATTAACTACTGTTTTTTCCTTTATTTTATCATCAACTGTTACCTTTTACATAATCCCAAGTACCTACACAAAATTATAAAGCATATATATAGAGTTTCCAACCTGTAAATTATGACATATTAGCACTCGTTGAAATCAAAAAAATATTACAATAGTCAATATTGGATAAATGTGGACCACTTTAGTGATATCAAAATCACATAGTTCATTACACTAAACGTGCATCATTAATGCATTGTAATCGAAAATTTAAAAACATTTCTACTAATTAAATTTCGTCAAAGTTTTAATATGTAAATACAAAATTGTATAGTGACATCCGTTTTTAACGATTGAAACGTATCTATTCAAATAAACAGGCAAAAAGTCCGTACAAAACGGGCGTCACTATTTTCCGCCAAAATCGACCTTTTCGTTTACCGCCAGTATAATAATTTATATTTCCTTTATCCGCCACCACAAGTTTCAGTTTCTATATTATGGTAACCCCTAATTGAAAGAATTAAAATATTATATAATATACCTACGTATAGTTTATCACAGATAATTTGTTCACAATCGTGTGTTTTTCTCCATTAATATAAAAGAGAGGAAAGATTACATTCGAAATTCATGCGACAACTGGTAATAACAATAAAGCGTTTCTGGTTTGATCTTTTATATTTGTATAAATAATATACTTGTAAAAATATAGATTTTACGATACTTATTATATTTTAGTTTATGTTGAAGTTCGCGAAAAAAAAGAGTTCGCTCCGCGCAATGGAAAATATAATTGAGAGTAATTGTGGTAAAAAGCAGTTGATTTTAGATAGTTTTAAATTCCGAATTGGTTCATGTAATAAAGAATTTATTTGTTGACGATGTAAAACTAAAAACTGCCCAGCAAAAGTTTATACAGATGAAAATTATAAAGTTATTAACAATACAAATACGCCACATCGCAACCATGGTAAATATTTCAGCCAAGCATTGAAAAAAACAGGTGATAAATACAGCATGTAAAAGAAAAGCTATTAAAAATGTAAGTACCAGACCAAAAAAAATTATTCTAACTGAAATCGGAAAAAATAGTAATTCATCAGATATAACCATTAACGATATAAATAGAATCAGAAAAAATATTTATGAAATCCGACGCAAAATTATTCCTCTAAATCCTACTAATTTAGCTGATGCTCACAACGTACTCAATTCGATTAATGTGAATACCAAACAACATAAAAATTTTTTGTTGGTCAATGATGAAGAAGAAAATATAATAATATTTTCATGTGAAACAAATCTTAGATTTTTATCAACAGTTGATAATATTTATATGGACGGAACTTTCGATTACATTGCTCGGTTTTTTTTACAATTTTTTTCAATTCATGGATATTTTAATGGTTACTATGTTTCATTAGTTTTTTTGCTTATTACCAAATAAATGTAAACAAAGTATACTTATGTTTTTCGTGCAATGAGTAAAAAGTGCAAGGACTTGGGGTTACATTTTTCTCTCTCCAACATAACTGTGGACTTTGAAAGGGCTATAATTAATGCATTTTCTGAAATGTGGACGCAAACTAATATTTCAGGATGTCGATTTTACTTAACTCAGTCTTGGTACCGTAAAATACAAGAAATTGACTTATCAAGTGAGTATAAAGACGAGTCATCTAAAATTGGTAAATGGTTACATAATATATTTGGCTTATTATTTCTAAATCCGGAAGATGTAAGTGATTGTTTCATTGACGACTTTATGAGTGAGTGTCCGATTGATGAAAGGCTACAAAAGTTTGCTGACTATTTTGTAGAAACATATATTTCTGAAGATTGTATTTATCCTCCAAAACTATGGGCACTTGTATCTTCAGAACTTACACGCACAACAAATGCCTGTGAGTCATTTCATTCACATTTTAAGAATAGTTTTTATCGACATTCGCCATCTATTTTGCAATGGTTAAATATTTTAATTGAAGAAGTCTAAACTGACGTTTATTGCAAATTAAGAAGCGTCGGTAAACAAAAAACACCGCGAAACCAAATTTTAAAAAGACAAAAAAAAAAACCAGTATTTAATTGATCAGTATAAAAGGGGAGAAATATGCCGAAATACTTTTGTCAAATCAATAGCGCATAACTATAAAAAAATAATAACATTATACAATATTTTATACAATTTTAATTTATAATAATTTTAATATTAAGTATCACTTGAATGTGTTTTTGTAAAATCATATATTTAATTAAAAATTGAATAAGTACCTATTTATTTTTGTTCTTTTAAAAATCATTACCAATTATTAATAACTCCACTTGTTAACATGGTAAAGGGTTACCAAAATATAGAAACTAAAATTTGTGGTGGCGGAAAAAGGAAATATATATTATTATGCTGGCGGTAAACGGAAAGGTCGATTTTGGCGAAAAAATTAGATCACTCTACAGGACATCTGGGACCTTAATCCATGAAATAATAATCCTTTGTAAACATCTATATATACAGATTGTACAAATATATATACTCGTATTTTGAACTGTGAACCGAAAAATAAATAAATAATAGTATACGAGTACTCGTATTTCGTAATAAACCAATACAGAGCGATTTTTTTCTTAACAATTAAAGTATTTACATTGGCAAATTTTACTTGCTTTGAATTAATCTTAATATTAATGTAATTTTATAAATACATGTACCTATTAGTAAATATATTTTGAAGGTACATAATATATTAATGTGCATATATTTTACGAATAATATTTATACAATCTATGCATTTAGTCAATAAACCATTAATTAAAGAGCAAAGATATTATATATATGTATAGAAACTGTTTATAAGTCTTAATTAAAATAATAAATATCGTTGTTTACTATACATCTGTAACACCCTGTTCGAGTTGTACTAAGTACGGTTTAATATATTTCATATCATATTTATCCAGATCTAAAGGAAAAAGTAAAATATCGCTATAGTGTAATGTATATAATAATATAATTGTATTAATAACTGCCGTTATAATCGCCGTATGCATGCGTATTAATACGCAATAATTATTGCTCGTGTATAAAAAAAATTATTCTTACAATTTAGGCAGTTATAGATTTTAGTAACGAACCAATATGCGACCTACAAATGTTACTCTACTTACTGATAAGATTGTGTTGATCTACATGTTTTGTTATCACGGTTAATGTCATTATGGTCATTTTATTCTATTTATGGGAATATTATTTATGTATTTTGGGACCGAGAAACTCTTTTAAAAATGATTAAAAATGAAATAAAAACTGGAACGATAATTTATAATGACTAACGGAGAGCGTACTCAACATTAAATCATCATGGATATATTCATCAAATAGTTAACCATTTAGAATTTTTATTGACCCAGAAACAGGAGCACACACACAAAAAAATAAAGGCTTATGGAGAATTACAAAATCCAAATATAATATTAAAAAGAATGGGCGTCTCCTTTACTGGATAGATAGATAAACAACTCCAAGAAGAGTGGTGAAGATCGTGTCAAAATCCAAAAACTATTTTTGATAACTTTTTGATTGACATTTCATAACAATATGGACTGGAACAATACATTTATTGGTGACACTGAGAAGTGGAATAAAAAAAAGTTAGTTAAAATTATTTGCATTTTACATTTATGATGTAGGTCCCGTATTGAATCGTAAATCAGTGTGTAGGTCGCATATTGGACCATTACCTAGATTTTATCAAATGTTTCTTTATATTTTACTGAATAACGAATAATGATGCCATGTGTGGAAAAATCACATAGTATGCATTAAAAACCTTCAGAAGTATGCCGAACATTTCTTAGATTTCGGGTCAAACTAATAAAAATAAAGCACCCATTTACTCATAATGAAGATTTTGCAGAACCTTTATAATTTTTATATTACAGACCACATGCCGGGTCACACACGCCATATGATATATTTTTCGACTACATAACACACTACACGACTCTTAAGACTAAAAATAATTGCCTTAAATTACGTACTCCAAAATACTAAGAGTTTAAATACTATATTATCAGACGCCCGATTAAATTGTCATCCAGGATTTAATCGTGTCGAAACAACAAAAAAACATCGATAAAACACTTTTAATATAGATTTAATTTCCACCGCCGTATTGCCAGGCTAACATACCTTCATTTCAGTAATGACTGATAAATATTGTCTACTGACAGTTTTACAAAATATTTAACACTGCCCATAAAATGTACGTTCTGTAAAAATGTTTTTTCTTTACCAGAGAGTTATGACCGCCGTATAATAAATTCGTGTAAGGAAATGTTCATGAAATGTTATCGAACAAACGTCCAAAGTACTTAATTATTTTTACATTATATATGTAAATATTATTTAATTAATATTAATTATCATTATAGAAATAATCAAATAACATGTGATGAGATATTTTAAAATTTGGAATTAATGTGTTAATTAATGAATTAAAAACGTCTAGTTTTATATAACTGTATTGAAAAAGATAATTTACTATCTCAGTAGACATCCATATATATAGTATATGGTTTTGTGTGTAAATATACTGTTTACGCATTATTCTACCGTTTTTTCATGTTTTTACTTAGAGTCGATAATAAATATAAAAATAATAAATAATATTATCACATGATCCCAGGAGCGGATCCACAGTTGGAGAACTGTGGGTCGGGCTATTTCAGGCCACTTATAAGGTCTGAAACTGAATTATAAGTATATACTGTGTTATAAACTATGGCAATTCATAGTTATCATTGAAAAAATTAACATTTATTATATTTTGTGGAGTCTTACATGAGGTACGGCATAAAAGTTATTTACTGTACTATACAATTAAATAAGTGACGTTATTTAGGGGAAGGGGTGGAAACTGGGGTATTCGGCCCACTATGGTATTAACTTCAACCAATTCACTTAAAAAATATGAGAAGTCTTCAAGAAGCCAATTTTGTCGACTACTATTAACTGCGGGTCAGCTGACCTCCTGAACCCACCCCTAGATCCGCCCCTGCATGATCCGATGTAATTCATATGGTTCGTTTTTCAATTATTTTTACTATTTTAACTATTAACGCAAATAATGAGTAATGGTAAACATCGAATTGGATTTTAATTTACAAAAAACGGTCTTACCAATCGCACAAGGCTATATACAAATTATAATGTTAACGTAATACATTTACCACGATCGAAATTAACGTTTAATATGGTTTCTAGAATCGTAAAATGTTTTCGGTGACGGATTTTATCGATTACGTATGTATGTATGCCTTCTTATAATCCACGGCTATAATATATTGTACCAACAACGGATTACTTAAACTAGCGACAGTGCCGTTCCTAGATTCTGCGAGGCTCTGAGCATCATTAGAATTCGAGGTCCTACAATATTATATCGAAATCCATAGGTACACCAGAATAGCGGTCCTCAATCCATATATCTATAATCTATTTATACATGGTATGTTGTGTATATATATTATTGTATAAACGCGAGGCCCTTGGAGGCACGAGGTCTTGGGCGAGTGCCCCGTTTGCCCTGTCTCTGCCCTCGGGACGGCACTGATTAGTGGTTGCCAATTTGTGATCCGCAGAGTTCCTTAAGGCTTCGCAATTGTTTTTCAGGGGCTCTATTCGTTTTATAATAAAAAATGTAATAATATAACAGTTATTGATCTTTATTTAAAACAACGAACATATATATTTCAACTAGACTCTGTCAAATAAAATATAATTCACTGACATATGCACAAACAATATTAAAATCCCGATAAAAAAATATAATTGTTTAATTTTAGGTAATATGTATTCCCATTCCAGGTTTTATCTGGCCATATATATTATATATAAATAAAATATTAAGTATACGTTATATCGTTTTGAGTTTCCTACACAAGGCCGTATTTGTGCATAGGCTCAATAGGTACTACGCTTAGGAACATATTTGAGCCTACAAAAATATATGGGTATGATTTTTTGTAATATTTTATGTTATTTTTTTTATTATTCTCATGTACACGTTTGCACAAGTAAAATATTATGTATAAAAATGTACAGGCAAAAATTATTATACTACTCCTATATTGTTTTCTTAATTTTTTTGTTATCTTAATTCGTATACCAACAATAATACACCCTCACTAACATGAACTCGGTTAACACAAATTATTGGATAACGCGAATCAATTTTTCAGTCCCGAAAAATACCATATACTTTAAGATAGGTTTTTTTTTAATTTCTCGGTTTACATGAATTTTTCGGTTAACACGAAACTCGAAAAAAATGTAGAACCCATAATGTTGTTGATTTGTTAAATTTGTTGATTATCACAAACAGAAAAATGCATACAACGTCATACAACGAAAACGATATTGTATTGTGTTGGTATATTAATGTTAATGTATAAATAATTAAGTAAACATAACTGTACTTTTTGTTTAATACTGTGGTGTATATTAGTCCCAAAGAGTACGTTTTCCTTGAATCTCGTATATTTTTTTCGGATACCTTAAATTATTTACGATTCGTGCTTTTGTAATCTATTACTGCTGGACGTACGCTAGCTATTGATGGTAAGTTTTTGCATGAAAAACGAGAAAATGTTGTTATATTTTGTTTATTGCGAGATATAACTTATTTTTTACCAAACATTCAAGAATAAATAACATTTAACTCGAACAACGTCGGTTAAAACACGGGTCCCTTACTCTTAGACTTAAGATGTACGGCCTCGTTTACACAACATTTCAGGGGTTGCTCGGGCACAGTTGTTCGTCTACAGTTGTTTGATATTATAATGTTATCGCATGTGCGTTCCGGGTTTAATGATTTTACAGTCACTTGGCCTTTAACATGACGGCCGCGCGTACACATGGAATAAAGCGATTCCATATCACTGGCTATTGAAACGTATCTTTTTTCCTGTGGCGCACGTAGTCGAGGTGCGTATTGTGCGCGCGTTCATTATTCGTTGGGAATAAAGTGAACGGATGTCGATAACATAATAGGTTCGTACCGCGTACGTATAATATACATATGTATACATAGGGCACGTGAGAAGACACCCGGGTCACCACAATTCACCGAAACGCACGTATTATACGTATTGGTACAAGTGCACGTTGTATACATGTGTGTGTGTGTGTGTGTGTGTGTGATGTCGAACCAGCAGGGCCATTATTTGCACGTGTCACAAACGAATGGTGTAAAGGTCGACCTAAATAATAGTGTGCACGGCTGCAGTCGTACGTACACCTACTACGTATGTACCAACACGAACGCGAAGAAGGGGCGAGTATCATTGTGTACGTTTACCGAACGATTTCGCTCTGTCCACCCCCGCATACTGCAGCACTACTACCCTACCGGTGCACACGAGTGTTATTATTACCATCGTCGCCGGTCACGTGAACCGTGAGCAGCAGCAGCAGCAGTCCATCGCAGCTAGTGGTGCAACGCAGCGGGCGCGACATCGTTGAAACTGTATCCAGTCCCGGGTGGAGTCCGACGTCGTTGCTCCAACACTGTTTTCTACTTCTCTGCTCCGTTCGTTCGATCCATCTGCAGCTATCGCACGACCGCCGTCGTTTCAGCGTGCCATCGAGTAAGTACGTTCAAGCTTTGTGTGGTCCCGGATAGGGTTCCGAGTGTACGTTTCGAACGTTTCCTTTGCCCCTGCCCGTCGGCATGTACCTCAATGGCGGTTTTACGGGGGGGAGGGCAATATGTGGACCGCCCCACCCCCTTTGAACCGTGTAAAAATTAAAAATATGAATAAGAAAACAGTTTACTAAAAATCGTTATGTCGATGATTTTATGTTAAAACTGTTGACTGTTTACAAAAATGTTTGCTCCTATAGAAATTCGACTGTTAACTAAGTTTGAATTAAAAATAATTTTTGTTTCAATTTTTTTATTGACACCTATATTTTTAAGTTATTCCATTTTGATATAAAGTTTATAGAACTTAAAATTACTTCTCATGTATAAAACAATAGGAAAAATAAATGGGATATATATACAAAATATTTTCGCCCCCCCCCCTTGTGACTTCTCAAGAACCGCCACTAATGTACCTAACCTAATTCGTGCATTTATTCCGCCAATAGATACCGATATTACGCTTTCGTTATTTGGAGGAACATTTCTAACATTTCTTTCTGTTTAACTATCGTCATCCAACGCTCACGGAAATCTATGACTTTTAATTAAGTTTTAGCGTTTCGAATACCTAACCAGAGACGACGCGAGGAGGTGGGCAATAGGGGCAGTTGCCCAGGGCCCCGCGCCTTAAATTATAATTAAGGCCTAACGGTTTTGATTTAACTGAACTTAAAATATTTTATTAATATAAATTATAAGACCTAACATTTATTTTGCCCAGGGCCTCGCAAACTCTAGCACCGACTGTGTACCTAACGATAATCTGAAATACGTTTTATGATTATAGTAAACGATTGATTGTTGTTTAGAAACATTCGAAATAATTCGTGAACAATTATACCGTAATAAAGCGTTGTTTTTTCTAAAAATAGTTTTGAATATTCTTAAAAAGAACAATTTTACGACCAAGCATGCACAATGCAACAGGCGTTAACGTATTCGTGTACTTTCTATTAATACAAGTGGTGCCAAGTTACTTTTCGTAAATTTCTTCAAAAAAATTTCCCCAAATTTTCCAATTGGAATAGTGAAAACGAAGCATAATGCTGTGGTATTCTTCGTAGTTTTATAATGTCCTTTTGCTTTCAAATTGAACTAATTCTATTTCAATGCCTCATAGTACAAGATATTAGACTTTCAAAATTATTATATTATTATAGTTAAGTGTAATTTTTAATTTCAACTTTAATTTCATTTACATTTTGAAATTGAAATTTTATTTCATACATTACTATAATAATCATGTATGTACTCATGTCACATCATGTATACTACTATTTTAGTAGGTACTCAAATAGATCTTGGTTAATATTTTAGATTTGTCCAAATGCCTATCTGTTACAAGTAGAAAGTATTACCTTAAAATTAAGATAGAATTTATCCGTTAAATAAATAAGTACATGTAATGCATGCGTGCGTATGTGTGCGCGTGTGTATGTTGTATGTATACAAGCACATAACGAATAGTAATAACTAGGGCGTACATTTATATATAAATACATAAATTTATTGAGCAGCGATTTCTCAATCCTGATAACAGATGAGAACGATTTATAAGTCTCCGAAGAAAATACTATTTCTTTTTCTACGTTATTTTCATGTATTTTAAAATAAAAGTGTATTTTTAAGTATTTCACCAATCATCGCATAATTTCATAAATGTTTCATTATTACAGACATATTTTGATCATTGTTATTAGGAAAATTTGCATATGATTTATTAGGTAACATAAATATTTAAACATTTCATATTTTAATACGCATCAATTCGCGCCCTAGTAATTACACAGTTAGACTAATAAAACTATTATATTACTATATAGCTAGTTACAAGTAAATTATTATATAAGTAATATTACTATACATAACTTATAACTATATCACTAATAAAACAAAGAACAAATCTAAAAATAATAAAATCAATAGAGTCTAAACAACTTTTGTAACGTTTATGATACGCATTTACTATTTCTATTATTATTATTATTGTGTACTAAACGAATAAAATAGAGTTTCGAATTCATTTTTGACTTTTTCGTTTCAGCTCCCTTGAAACCGAACTTGAGTACACTATTTAAAGTCGTATGTTTTGAACCTTAAACATTTTCGTTTTTTGTATGTCGTATACAATAAATTCGTTTGAATGGGAAGGCAAATATTTACATGAGATTATAATCATATATTTACACAAACGCTGCAGATGCGCCGTTATATGTATGTGTTTCAGAATATTTATTTGAATATATTTTTTATGTATTTAGAATATTATTCAATAAAAAAAAAAAAATTTTAAAATACTTTCATTTAAATACTTTACAAGACTGATATGTACTCGTATGTAATAGAACGTTATAAAGTTATACGTTTTCCGTTTGATCCTTTTATATGAATGTATTGGTTTTTTTTTCTACGTACATACTCGTATTTCAGATGATTAGATTCCTTAAATCGACAATAAATCACCAGAAATCAAAAAACAAGGTAATTCAGCTAACCTATTATCGTAATTAGTACTTTTTAAACGTTCTTTCAAATAAGCCATATACATTTGCAATTTACGTTAATTATACACGAATACATTCGTATTATTTTATCGCCGACCGTTGTTACATTGATTTTCGTTATTCGTACAAAAATTAAAATCGTAATTATTTTACATTTCATTAACTCGTCGACTGTACTCACTCTGTATTTTTCTAGATACAACCATGAAATTCATTTTACAGAATAAAAAACCTTAAAGTCTCACCTAGGACTTATTACTTTATTATTAATTAATATTATTTCTAAAAAATAATAAATATATTTTTTCAAATCTTTGTATTGTTTTGTCGATATTGAGAGTTTGATTTAATTTCTTAAGGGAAATTAAGGGAAATGCGTTTTATTTTTTTAACCGGTAGCACATTTTTGAATATTTAAAGTTGTGCGTGTAAGTGTGTTAACAACTGAGTTTTAAAAATAAGTACTCATATATAATCCGATATTATTATGTCAAAAATTATAATATTTTGCTAATTTCTTTTTATGGTTTTTTACCTACGTATTATAAATTCTATGCGTCTTGATCAATTAACGAGAAACTCCAGTTAATATTTTTCAAATTTCATGATTTCGGTGTGAATTACTAAACAATTACTTATATAAAGTACCTATTACATAACGTACTTTATTGTACCTAGTATACCTGTCAACCAATATTGATTTAATAAAATTATTAAAATTTGTTTTAGCCATTATTTTAGAGAGAACCGTATAAGATGTACAAATCCGGGTTACATTCAATTGTTCACATCAGTTCACCATCACATCAAATCGCAAAAGATTTGGCTACGTAAGTGAAATAAAAATAAGTAATGACTTAACAATTGGTTGTTGTCGCTACTAGAATTTTGATCTGCTGCCATGTTTTCCTTTTATTATGAAAATCCATCAAAAAATAATATTTTCAACATCCATTACCGATTTATTTTTTTTTGACTTGACCAGAAATATTTTAAATTTATTCCGTAGTACAAATCTAAAGATTTCAAAATCAAGTTTATAGTTGCTTAAGATTATTATTGTGGCTTCGAAATCTCAACTTTGGTAGTTTCCAATTATGAATTATTCATATGTTTATCCGTCGATAATTATTATTAGGTAGGTATTAAAAATTTTTTTTTTTTTTTATTCCAGTTCTCTATTAAAGGATGATATGGCTGTTGGCGTTTGCCTTATTCCTACTGTATCAATCATGTATAAATGGAAAGGAGAAGTGATAGAAGATACCGAAGCATTGATGGTAATATACAAATACGTTATGAAAATATCATATGGTTTTCCGCTGAATTTTTTTTTTTAGTAATTCGCTACTTAAAACAACCATTACTTAGGTACTTACTATACATTTTGTTTTATTTTATAAACATATGAGATACTTACCTATCTAATTTATACTCTAGATCAGTGGTTTTCAATACAGCACATTTCATCTCCAACAAAATTTTCGCGGCACACCAATCCATAAATGATGTGAACCATATTTTATATATATACATACTATTTACAGTCTACTCTATTAGAGGGTTATTTATTATGAAATATATTAATACAATCGATCGATCGAGACGACCGCGACGGGCATACTTACAATAAATAATATTATATGTATCTACGATTAGTTCGATCAGTTTTCATATCGAATATGAATAATAAGCTGGTAAATACATACTTATAAAACAATTTATAGATTTATCGCGGCACATTTAAAGAGCGCACGCGACACACCAATGTGCTACGGCACACCGGTTGGGAATCACTGCTCTAGATAACTGAATGATTAAAAAAATGGGGTGAAGTAATTTATTTAAAAAATGAATCTTGACTATGGATGTACTAGAACTGTCTTTAATAAATTAAAAATAATGTCCCGGGAAGTTGTTTTATAAATGATAGAGTTTAATTGCATACTAAACACTAACTAGGTATATAAAAAAATTAACGGTTGCATTTCGGATGATAAGTTGATGTAGGTATAAGTAGGTATAAAAAAAAAAATCAATATCTTAAAATAAATACGGTTTGATTAATTATACGTTATAAAATAACCTGTTTATTGTTTCATATTTGTATCAATTGCAGATTGTTAAGACGCGTACATCAAAAGTAGGGGATTTATTGAATAAAGTGAACACAATGTCATCGTAAGTAATTTTTTTTTTTTATAATCGTATGTCTCGTTCAAAAATAAATTATAACAGTAAAATATAAACTTTATATTTATTTTGGCACGATTTTTACTTTATTATAGGAAACAACTATTTAGTTCATTTAATAATTGTGTATGCTAAAAGTAAAATTTTTCTATTTAACATAACATTATATTTATTTATCAACAGAAAAATTAAGAAAATACTTTTAATTTTAAATATTTTATAGTATTTTTTTTATTTCTTTAATATAAATCCTTTACGTGTTAATTTGAATTAAATATTATACTAACAAAAATATTATTTTTACGTCGACACGTATTATTTCGATCATGTCTATTTGTAATTTAAATGAGAAAATCATTTATTATTGTTAATTGAACATATTAAGATACCTATTCTATGATTTGGTTTTTTTTCTTTTTAGATCTCCTGACTCCGACGAATGTAACATAATCGCTATTAAAGTGAGTTTTTAATAACACCGTTCGAATTATAATGTTCCTCTCATCAATTATAATTATGTTGTCAATATCCAAAGGTGGGCAAGTTAATGAAAATAATTAACTTGAATTAAGTTAAGTTAAGAGAACACAAGATCAAAAATTTTAACATTAAAAATGAACAGTTAACAATTCATAAATTTAACTCAATAAGTTATAAGTTAATAAGAAAAAAAAATATTAACTTAACTCAGTTTAAAAAAAATTAATCTACTTTTTTAATTAGTAAGTAAATCACATAAAAAGTGACTTCGTTCCTCAGAAAGATTTATTTCCTAAATTATAATGAACAATTCTATTGAATTTTTTATCATAATATACAACAGTGACGCTAAAGTGTTTGAAAATTACTATGACATTGTACAATTTACATCAAGGGGACACTCACTACCATATTTATTCATCTTTATAGTTAAAATTCTTTATACATAAGATTTTGTATCCAGAACCCAATACCCAAAGGTGGGCCCCCAACCTACAAAATCTTATATGACATTTGATTTACAGTGTATACGACCATTTTACTTTACATGAATATTTAATTTTTGTATTGATATTTACGTATAACTGAAAAATTTAAAGAAAATTTTAACTTGATAGATTCTTTTTAAATCAACTATAAAAAGCTAAGTTATTTCAACTGCCAGTTAATCTAGTTAAGTTAAAAAGTTTATTAGAAAATAAACTAACTAGTTAATGCCCACCTTTGTCAATATCAAGAAATAACATTTTTACAAAAATAAAGTTAAGGTTATGTTATTAAATGGTCAAAATACAACAATCATTGTTATATTACAATATTTATTACCTTATTAATAACAAAATAATTATAATATTAAAATTAGTTATATAACTTATTAAAATTATCAAATATTTCCAATAATATCAAAATAAATAAAATATAAATTTTCTTGCTTATAATATTGCAGCGGTCCCCAGTGGAATTTTAGAAAGGATCAAATAATAATTTTAAAAATTACTTAAGGGGTGTATACATTTTAATGATAACGATTAAAAAAATATAAAAATGTGTAAACTATTCATTAATTAAATATAACTTAATAATTTATAATTATAATGTTATAAACAATTTATAATTCATAAAAATTATTGCATTTTTTTAGAATAAAATATAATAATATTAAATTCAATAAAAGTAGAAACGATAAAATAAACGATAATAATAAGATAAAATAAATAAAAGTTATTCTATATAATATTACACCAAAACCAAAAAAAAAAAAATACTTTTTTATTTTATTTACTCTACTTAATTTTGAATTTTAAAACGGTATTATAATTTTTGTGTAGGTATACAAGTATTGTACGATGTGTGCAAATATTTACTAATATAACATCGAAATGTAACAATAATCTTTAAATTTTGACCAATAAATAACATAAACTTAAAATTATTTCTTAATATTAATTAATATTATTTATTTATATAGTTAATATCTAACATTTTGCTATTTTTTTTTTTTTTATATAGTAAATAACAATTTATATTTTCTCTTGCAGGTGGAAAACTTAAAAGTTCCTTACTTTGATTGGTTGATTGATAGCATTCCTGAAAATTCTGAATATTTAAGCAGATTATCACCATAATTTGAATGGAAATTTTAAAGAACAATACCTACATTATCTAAGTCTTATAACCCAATAATTATTATTGAGTTTTACCTATATTAAATAAGTTTACTCTACTTGTTTTCGACTTAGATAATTTTATAAAGTTTGAAATGATAAACATTTATTCATTCAACATTTTTTAATCAAAATTATTTGTTATGTATAAGAGAATCAAAATTTATTGCAATATCTATTATTTAATAATATACTATTCTGTTATAAATAAGTTCCTGAACTTGTATTTTTGATTAAATTGAAATACTCTTATAGATTTTTATTCTTCAATTTCAGTTTTGAAAATATTAAAATAAATAATAATCGAGAGCTAATTTAGTTAATGTTTCATGCTGATTTAAATACCCAACAAACTGATAAAACTGTAATAAACCTTACTTTAAGCAGTGTCACTAAAAATAAAACTTTGAAATATATCAATAAATGTAAATGCATAATATGTTTACAAAATAATTGGTGGTTTTAATTGAATTACGTGCAGGTTACTTATTGTTTAAAAAAAAAATAAGAAATTTTTGATGTTCATTTCAAATCTAAAAATGTTTAGTATCTGAATAATTGACTTGTACATATAAATAATATTATATGTACAAAATATTTCAATGTTTTTAATTAAATTTAAATCAAGTATACTTGATAAACCTGTCTAAAATGTAATTTACGATTAGACAAATTAAAAGGTATTAATTAAAATTTGATCACTCATTTCATTCAATAATAAGTTTATATTTTAATGTTTTATTAAAATATAAATTTTCATTTTGGGTTATGTTCAAAGCTCTAAATTATTTTGTTATAAAAAAGTTATTTATGGTATCATGACATTAAAATGATTTAATGATTAAACCATGTTAAATAATAGAAAATGATAAGATCAATTATTATTTTATTCATCATTCATAATGTAAAATAATTTTAAATTAATATATTTGCTAGCTATGTACAGAGGGGAAAACATTTGTCCTCCCTTTATCCCATACATATTGATAAAAATATAAATGGATTCGTAATAACAATATACACTTAATTAAAATGAGTAATTGTTTTTTCTGTGTAGGCTAAATAGTCAATAATATTATATTTGCTAATTTCTAACATTTATATTTGAACTAAAAAGAAAAAAGTTAGATTAAAAGAAAAAGAAAGTTAAATAAAAATATTAAAAAGTATTACATAGTTAAAAATTTAACAATTTAATTTTATTCTCATTAATTGTTTAACTAACATAAAAAATAAACATTATCCGGTGTGCATATGTCAATACCTAATTTATGTTAAGCTAAAATAATTAAAACAAATTTAAAAAAAAATTGTATTCTTGATTAATTTTCATATCTATTAATAGTTAAATATTTGATTAAAGTACAAATAATATTGACTCTTGGTACTATTACTAGCTTTTGTCCTCTTGATATAATAATACTCGATTTTTCATATTTTCTAGAATAAATATTTTTTTTCAAATATTTAAAAATAAATTTTTTCAATAATTACATTAACACATATGAAACTATATAATAAATATAATGAATTTATTTTTAGCTTCTTAAATGATTTTGTAGTAAAATTTACAGTACAGAGTTTTAATTATTATGAAGAACTTAATAGTTTAAAATATTTAATGAAAGGAAATTACAGAAATTATAAATATAATTTATAAAATCTTGAGCTTAAATGCACAAATAGTAATTTAAAAAATAATCAAACGTACAACTTTAAGATATAATTTAATATTAATACATAAAATAAGTAAAATTTAAAACAATAAAAAAAATAAGATAAATATTTCCATCATATATAATTATTAAAATACTTATTATTGATCACCATAAAGATTTAGCATTAAAATTGTAATCATTCTATTTCTTAAATATTGTAAATGGTTGCATGACTGCCAAAAAAAAAAAAAAAACAATTGTCATAATTTCTCTAAACAAAATACATAATATAAGCAAAACAAATTATTTTTTTTAATACTGCCCTGTACAATTTATCAATATACTTGTTATAATACCGCAAAAATAATTATTTAACAACATTTTTTATTACAAAAATATTTAGAAAAAATTTAATTTAACACATTTTTGTCATATGTCAATACATTTTTAAAGACATTAGCAAGTTTTCTCATTACTATAGATGCATTAATAGCAATATATTATACTTGTTAACACAAATTAATTTCAAATAGTCATTATTGATAAAAGTAAATCTAATTTTCAGTAATTAAGACGTAAACTTTTTTATGTGTATACAAATTTAATTAGAAGTTTATAGTCATTAATAAAATTCTCTATTAAATATAACATCAAGAGAAATTTTGAACTAGATTTATTGCAATCTGAGTAATAATGTAGTAGAAAAAGAAAGTTTTATTCAAATTTTACTACTGTTGCGGCACTTTAACAATATAGTAATATACATTTTTATTGATAATTAATTTAAAAAATGATAATTATCAATTAATCATCAAAATTTGATCATTTAAGTCTAATAAATTTTTTCAGTCATAGAAAATAATAAATAATTATTGAACACAATACCCTAACTTTTTCTTTACATATATTATCCATTTTATAATGATTAGTAACTTAGAACCTTAATATTAATCAGAATTATCTTCCGTGTCATTATTTTGACTTAATACTCTATTGAGAGCAGCAATATATTGAGGGGTACGATGATAAACATGATTTTTCTTATGGAAAAGTTTTGGCCGTTTACGTTTTTTCTGAAAAAAAAAAAAATAAAAAAAAAATTATCAATTACTTAAATTTCTAATTTCTAATATTATATTTAAATTCCTAATTACTTCTGAAAATAAAATAAAAAAATTTATTAGACATTATATACTAGAATTATACACAAAATTAATGTATAGAATTATAAAATATTAATAACTTATTTAAATACCAGTCTTTATTGGTATTTACATAAATAATCAGTCTGCTTTATTCATTAAATTTAACTTCTATTTGCTAACAAATTTAAATAATAACGAACACAAAAAAATTATAAATATAAAATATATAATCTTATAGATTATTATTTAATTTCTCAATATTCATCAATAAGATTTAATATCAAAAACAATGAATAATGTACCTGTATTAATAACAAGGTGTATACATTAAGTAGAATAGTTTTTGCTACATTTGATTTTAAATTTAAAATACATAAACAGAAAAATACTTAAAATAAAAATATTGTTCTTTTAATAAAATTAGTGATGTTTTAAAATACTTTTAGTAAAATAAATAAAATACTTGATCCAAACAAAAAGATTTAAAATTAATTATTGTAGAAGTTAAATTGAATGTGATATAATTTTTAGAAAATTACTTTTTTTTTCAATCTAGACTTATTCAGAATTTACAAGTGAAACAGAAGTTCAGAATCAATAACCACCACAAAAATGATTAATTTGCTTTAACATTCAATAATATAATTTTTACATGCAAATTTTTCATCATTTTCTTTAAAAAAAATTAATATTATTTTACAGCAAACATTCCTCTCTATAATACTTAATGATATTATTGAAAACCCCAATAAAGTTTTTATTCAATAAGTTATATAATAACATATTAGCATAATTCTTAATTCTCCAACATCATAAATATACTAAATATAAGTTATTTAATATACAAATCCATATTTTTACCCTTCTTTTTTCACCACGTTTAATCACAGGTGCTGGTGTCAAAACATCTGAAGATGATTGTTCAGATTGTTCTGTCAATGCAAACAATTAAAAAAAATTAAATAAAATTATTTAAATTGAAAAATATTTAAAATGTAATACATACCATCAACAACCATGCTATAATGCAATAAATTAAATTTTACTATATCATACAATTTTGTAATTCCATTTTTTCTATAATAAAGCAGTTCTTCACGACGTTTTTTAAGTAAGTATTCTTGCTTTAGTCGTATATTCAATGACCACAGCTCAACCTCAGTTAAATATCGAGTAAACTTTTTTAACTGGTTTTCAATGCCTAGTATACTTCTACAAAATGAGAAAAAACATAAAGAAAAATCCAATCAGAAAAATAAATTTACTGCATAGTTAACATACTTTTCTTCTTGTGTTAGTCTACGTTTAGGTTTATCTTTTGAGAAAAAATATTTATCCATTAATTGATAATCATGAACAATTTCTTTGGCAAGTGTTCTTTCATATAACCGTGTACAGTACATATCAACACACGCAAGATTATAATCTGTAATAATATACAATTGAGATCCATTGAAAATAGTTAATTTATGATATCATATTTTTCCACTTAGACTTATCGTATAAGTAATGTTTGTATATATTTGACTATTATATGATCACAAAATGTATATTTACCATCGCCAAAATCATTCCACTCTGATATAATGCTTAAAACTGCTTCAGCGTTATTATCAAAATCATTTTCCTACACAAAAATATATTGTTGAGTTAATAATACATAAAAACAATAAAACATTTTTATAAAAATGTAATCATACCAACTCAAATTCATCTCTAATAGGATTGAACCCAATTTCGGCGTACTGAGCTTTAGATAATCCAGATAAATGAGTAATGCTTTCATTTAATTTAAAATGGACCGTTCGATCTTCTAATCGTGGTTTCTTTATTGTACCCCAAGTCAGTTTTCCAATTATACCATCCAAAAAATACTTTGCGAACTGTAGTTTGATTTCTTTAATATTAATAGTAAAAAATAAAAAATGATATTAAAAATAACATTTTTTTAGGTTTACAAATTTTAAGCATAATAATAAAGTAATTTACCAGCTGGAGTTCTATTTATTATACTCTTTGGTAATTCGTCCCAACATCCAAAAGAATACTGTTCAACAAAGTCTAAAATATGCATAAGATCATCACCGGTCCATCCATCATTGGAAACTAAATACTGTCCAGGAGATTTTTGACCCTTAAAATATTTTAAAATTAACATTGTCAACCAATAAAATCAAATAATTGTACATAATATACATAATATGCTACATTGTGCATATTGATTTCAATTTTTTAATTAGTGACAAACATTAGTAGTTATTTCATACATTTTAACAAATTAATTAATATTATCAATTTAATAACTAACACTACTTATAAATAAATATAATTAAATTTCACTAATTTCTTAGTTTAATTTCATTACATTAAGTTTCACACACATCAAATGAATATTAGAATTAAAATCATGAACTTAAATATAAATATATAATAAATAGATGTGTGGAAATAATATTGTAATAATAAATAACTTTTTTTGACTGTTGTCTTAATTGTATAATAAGAAAGAACAACAATAAATAATTGCATTTAACACGTTCACCGTCAGTTATTGCCATAGTGCAGTAGTTCATTGAAATTGTTTAATTTATACTTCCCATACAGCATTTTTGAATCAAAAAATCCATAAAAATATATCCTGTTAGTTGGAATTCCAATATTTATGATTAAAAATTAAAAGATCATTTTACAAGCATTACATTTTTCAATGTTGAAACTGAAATATTTAATTATAATTTTTAATCATTTTACTACCAATATTCTATTTTTAATTTAATGTATTTTAAAAATTAACTTTTATTCAATATACTAGGATTATATAACCGTTATAATAAATTAATTGGGGTACTCCGTCCCTCTGCGTCCCCCCCCCCTCAAATTGAGCACTGTATATATATAATAATCTTCTTTCGATAAGCAATTAAAATTGATTTTGTACATATTTTAACGACTTTGTTTGGACATATATTTTATATTTTATAAAATTTGCAATAGGTTGTATTATTTGTCATTATTTACTTTTTTTACTAATAACTAGAGCCCGGATTTATATGCATTTTCGTGTTTGTATTAAGTCTATGGAGGTTTAAAATGTCCACGATTCATATCACACCGAATTTAACCACCAAATTTTATATTGCATATTTGTTCATAAATGCATATAATATGCATATCTAATGGGTTTTTAATAAATTAAAAATGTTTGTATTTTTTTAAGTCTTCTATTCGGTTTTTGATTTAGGTAACTTCAAATGATCTAAAATTTTAATAAAATCTAAAATATTACTTTTAGTTTTTTTTTTTTTTTTTTTGTATTATAAGCTTAAGATTGATTTAAATGATTTAAAATATAAAACAGTGGATATTATTTATTATTTTTTTTTTTTTTGATAAAATATTTAGAATTTTATTTGGTATAAAAGTGTGATTTTTTTTAAAAAAAAACATTACATTTCATAAAGTGTAACATAATGCATATAATTGCATATTTAGGTACTTTTTTCTTTGCATATTTGCATCATATTTGACAATTTTTTAAATGCATATAAATCCAGGCTCTACAAATAACAATACATAGTTGATTTAAGGGAGTGTCAATAATTGAAAACACATTTCTAATATTTAAATTAATTTACTTTTACTATTGGTAAAATCATACCAATATATGATCACTGATCGTAACTTTCAAAAACAAGTATTTTATAGATTAGCTTTTCTCAAACATGAACTTATAAACAATCAAATGGATATCAAGGAAAGAATTAAGTGTATTGAAATACGTTTTAATGTCAATAATACTACAAATATAAGTAGCAATAGTCAAAATATGTCATTATTAAACAATATAAGTAACTGTACATTTCCAATTGATAACCCAACAGATTGAGATATGTTTAATGACAAAATATCTGGTGATAGAGTATTTCAAATTAATTTGATAAATAGAGTACATTTGTTTATATTCAAATATTTTAAGTATATTTTATTTTGTTTTATGATAAGCAAATCAGCTAAGTTACACTGGTAGTAAATATTTAAAAATTATGATCAAAAAAAGATTATGAGTAATTTATTTTGATATTCATGTTGTATGCGGTCTACCGCCTGTTTCGTCATATGTGGTCTACCACATAGTTAAATCAAGAGCGTATTTGAGGGAGTAGGCATTCACCCCCCCCTCCCGTAGCTCTTATTTTTTTTAAATATAATACATTGATTTATTTAAAAAATGTAATGTATAAATAATTAAGAATATAAATTAATAGTCTATCATTATAATGTTATTATAACAGGAACATGAGCTGTAGGTAATGAACTGTAAATTATTTTTAAGTTTGTATTGAAAAAAAATTAGTTTCACCCCTCTCCCCATGGCCACAACTCAAATACGCCCTTGAGTTGAATGAATGAATACATAAATGTGGAATTACAATATATTTATTAATATAGAATTTCAATATAATATTGCAGAATTGCAGAATAATGTATCACGTATAACGGCACAAACTAAACTGTAACTGATTTTCTCATAAGTTTAAAATTACAGACACGATTATTACTCTATTTAATTACCTATATTGCTATGAGCTGACACCGAGTCCATTAAGATTATAAATCGTTAAGATAAAACTTAATAGCCGTCGAATGCCGCCGTCGGATCAATGGGAATGAACTACAATATATATATATATATATATATAGATGCACAGCAGTAGACCGCATATGACGCGTAGAAACATACGTGGTAGACGACAAGTGTGCAGTAGACCGCATAAAACATGAATACTGTTATTTTTTGATAGGTTATTGAAACATTAAAGTCGGAAAGAAAAATAAATTTTCAAGTTTGGCTATTTGTACAGTTATTTTTGGTAAGAATCGTTAAAATCTTGGGAATACAATTTATGTGTAATATTCATAATATATATTTTAGTTAAATTTAGTTTTTATTAACTTTATTTTGAGAAATTAAGCAGATTTCTTACTTCGTGAGTTGCTTTATGAGACATGATAAATTTTACTTAACAGTACAAGTAGGCACTTCATTGTTGAAAAATTAAAATTATTAATAAAATCTATGCAGAAATTAATTTTTAAAACAAAATAAAAAATAGTTAATAAATGGTATTTAATTTAATATGTATAATACTTTATTACTAATTAATTCTTATAAATATTAATGCAATTAATTAATTTAGTGAAAATTATTTTTCAGATACAGTTAAACAACAATCAAAATTTAAAAATATATCTGAAAATGAAATGGAAGAAGTTTTAAAATATGTTCTTGCTCAAACTTCTTTTAATTTAAAATGACTAGAGAAAAATAATGTAAGTTAATTTCAACAATGGTTCTAAAAATAAAACTTAAAATATATACATAAATAAATTTTATTATTTGTTCTATTGGTGTAACTAGGTTAAACTAACCTCTAAAATGAAATCTAATTTGTTTCTCTCCTCTCATTACTCATAAAATGATGTGGATACCGCAGGATATCTACAATTTATATTTGCAATATATGTGAATGCAGAGCCTCTACAATCTGCTTAGATTATATATATACAATATTTAAATAAAATTAAATTATTACAGTTATATAAGTATATTAATTAGAATAAAAAAAATCATCTTGGAAATAACTATAAAATTGAATTAATCAATATTAATAATTTAAATTAAATTAAATTACTTATAAACTTTTAATAACATTTACTTAAATTATTTAAATTTAATATAAATATAAATATTAATACATTTAATAATATTGTTTTCTAGTATTTAACAAATGTACTAATTTAATATCTATTGATTAATTAATTATGGCATTTGTGAATAATTAACATTTATTAACCTCAACAAAACTTGTTTTTCAAATTTTAATTAAGATGCAAATAATTATTTAAGAAACTATAAATAATTCAATCATTTAACATGAATTCATCTAAACACAACATTTGATTTCTAATCTTTAATAAATATATTAAAAATATATTTAATGTATATAGGTTTTTAAAAATTTACTTTAAAATGCAAAATGGTTCAAAATATGATTATTAATTATTTAATGATATTTTAGAATGTACTACTGGTCATAATACAATATTTAATAAATCATTAATTTTTTTTTCAAATATTTAAGTAATGTTACAATAATATTGCCATGCTGTGTGGAAGCTTTACATATACAAATAAATAATTAACTAAATTTAAAATAAATAAAATGTTATAATATATTTTAAATTTTAACGTATTTTATACTTTAACATATATCAAACCAAAATTGTCTAGAATAACTAAATATTCTGTGAAATAACTAGTTAACCTTCCAGCGGGCGCGCTGTTGTAAATAATACAACAGTTTTATATCTATTAGCTTATTCAACCTATATTCTATTTTTATCTTGTCGGCGGTCATGGGTATTCCTCCGAAATGTTATTTTCTACGTTTTAGACTATTTTTGAGTGTTTCAGTTCACATTATTGCAGAGAATCGATGAAGTATTGATAGAATTGTCGCAAAACACAACACGCGCCATTCCGTATACCCACGTAAAACACAAAACGCGTCGTTCAGTGTACCTGAGTTATTATTTAGTAATTTTTATTTTTGTGGTGGTAAAAAAAAACAAAATTTTTTTAATATTGTTTTATATCACTATGTAATATATACATTTTTATTTTTTTTTATATTAGATATAATATGTACGATTATCTCAACATATTAGGACTGTTGTAAAATGTACAACGCGCGACTACTCTTGTTTCAAATAATGGCGCGCCCGCTGAAAAGTTAAAGTATAATTTTCATTTATACATATATTATCATTTTTCACATATTTCGTAGATAATTCATAAACTACCTAGTTATTTTATAAAATACATACATTTATATTTTAAATTTGTTGTTTGTAAATTGTTTCTCAAAATTAATAATACAATGTATAGCTAATACCTTAGTATAGTGTAGATTCTATATGAATTGTTATACTAATGATAGAAAACAAAATATAATTTCTCCAAAAACATTAACAAGTTTTTTTTTTAATAATTTATAGATTTTAATAGAATTAAAGTGACCAGAGGTAATTTTTCAAATCATTTTATTCATAATTTTTAAATGGTTGAAAATAGTGAAATTGTACTTAATATATTTAATAATCAAAAGTATTTTAGAAACAAGAATGTTGACAATCTTAATAATAATACATGTACGACAATTTTATCTAACACAATTAAACATACATGAACACTGCAGTCGCTGACAAAAAGAACATCAGTTTCATCAAATTTATTGCTATGATAGACAGTAAAATAACGATATTTTGCACGTATGAATGTAAAAATTTGACACAATAATGAAGTGATGCCAGGGAACGTATAAAATAACTAGGAAAGTGTATAAATTATATACATTACCTACATGTTTTAGTTATTTCATAAACTGATTCAATACTTAAACCACAACATATATAAAGCATATATACTATTTTTTGTTGTATGAGTTCATTACTAACAAATAATCAAAGTTTTTCTAACTATTTATTATATTGATGACAAATGTTGACATAATAGTTATTATTACCTATTTGTTTTGCTTATGTCAAATAACAGAATAATAAAATAAATGACAGTATATACATGTCAAATTCTATTATTACCCAAAATAATTAAGTGTAATATAAAATTATTTTAAAAAACTAATTTAACTTTAATAATATAAAATAACACTAATTCATGATTACTCACTACCAACAAGTATAATAAATACTGCAATCATATAAAAATTACTATGAATTATAACATTTATTAACACTACATTTATTGGAAGTCAATAAATAATAAGAATAAAAATTGAAAATATCTACTTACTTTTAACTTGTATCCATGACTGTTTTTATGATCACCTATTTCAGCTCCATGACTAAAACACTAGAATTTAAAAAGAATCAGGTGTGAATATCATAAAGTATAGCCAAAGTGAAATCATAATGTACAAATGTGTAAATAATCAAATACATACACCCAAACATAGTTGAAAGTATGAACATTCCAAACACACTACAGTCAAACTGTCTATAACGTCCTGACAATATGTGCAAGTGTTGTCCATGGTAATAATCTGCAAGTGATATTTCAACGAGTTATATTATTGCACAATATGATACTGTCCAGAACGGAAATTAACATTGGCGTCATGACTGTTGAGATGTAGCAGCGATCTACACTACAGCATTTTGTAACATTCACAGTGCATCATTGTGGCCATGGATACAGCTCACGTTAATAGTCAAATGACCGTCTTGAACACTGGACCCTGTAAGACCACTGACAAACAACAAGAACCGAACCACCACAGGCATTACCGTAACGACTGGCCTCCTGCAGTCGAGTTGCTTTGCCTGCTTGTTCTAATCAGCAAACACTGCTCGCCGGACGCGAGTTGATCGCATGCCCACGCCCAACAATCGGAACTCCAACGAACTACTAGCTGTTTACACCGGACGGTTTAAATGATCAGGTTTTCTGGACACCACAGCTAAACATCAGACGATACGTACTATTGAGCTGAACGGAATCTTCACTGGTTGCGCAACGGCCGAAGAACCGACGACTATCAGCCGAATCGTAAAACCGTTTGATAACGGCGTAACAAAACAAACGTAACTGCAACGGGGACGCGCGCCAATGTTATGTTGTCTATCAGAGGTGGCCGCTACCGGACGACGCAGCACGACAATATTCCACCACCCACTTGTTCCACCACCCGAACCGTGTTTGTTTTGTTGACAGCCGCGACAATGGAATAAACGTACCAAATACTATCACGCGCGAGTTATTAAAATATACTGAATACATGAAAAAATTACTGTAAACACTTAAATTCTTTAGTATTTATCAGTGTTATAAGAATATCAATGTTCATAAACAATTTATATTGAATAATTGGTTAAATTCGTTTTTTATCGCTCAACACAAATCTATGTACAGTTAAAGAAACACAAATAAAGAATACAAATAAAAAGTGTATATTATTAAAATCATAAAGACGTGATTATTGTTATATTCTTCTGTTGCGGCAGTTTAGACGTGAATAACGAGAATGAAAGACGTCGGTCGAAAATACACGTTTCATTGACTATCGTATTTATTACTTGGCATATCGCAATTTAGAAACAATAAAAACGTCGAGTTAGGGACAAATATGATGTGCCTATTCATTTTCCGGTGCTGCAATAATAAATTCAATGAAATGTGTATAATAGTATATAAAATCAGTATAAATTATGCGTAGTGACTGATCTACAGAAAAAAGATAAAAGGCAATTAGGCACCTAGTAAAGAAGCGATTTGTATTTATAACATTTTTAATAAATTGTTTATAAAGTAATTTTAAAATATAATATTGTGACTTAATGTTATATAATAAAATATACTATTCGCCACTATAATGTAAATGTTTTTCAATTTAAATAAGTTAAATACGAATAAAATAGGTATACGAATTATAGACATGTATACAGCGCAAAAGTCAAGAGTTATTATGATAAAATAAATAACATCAACTAAAACAAATAGAAGAAAAATGAAACTATTTTAACTTTGTACAGTAAGAAGTGCCGTGATATCGGTCATAACGAAGATAACAAAAATAATTAAAAATAAGATACGTAAAAAATCGAAATTATGTATCTAAGTACTTTAGACCAATTTAGTTCATTTACTTTAGTTAAATGGTTGACTATTAAAATTTTAATCTATTACGAATAATAATACATTAAATACTATATTTACCAAGTGTTATACAGCAGAGAAACAGGATATTGCATGTGCCTTGTACAATGGTCGAGGACAAAATAAATGTAAAATAATTTTATTATTTCTTCACCTACTAGTATTTACTATTTATAATATCAAATCATTTTGGGAAAAACATAGTGTGGCACTCGTAGTTATAACATTTACAAGAATATAAAGATAAGCGTTGACTGATTTAGAAACATTCGTGGACTTCAATTATGTTCATGGAAGTTATCGAGAAAAGTCGTTTGTGTATTTACCTATGTTAATTATTTTTTTCATTGAACATTTTTCATTGATATTGATGTAGTGATTATTGTAGCCATGGCGGTACATTTTATCTAAAATCGGTTATTATTAATTAATTTACTTCTGAAATAGTATAAACATAGGTATAGTATTAAAAGAACAATCAATAAATCAACCATTTCCAATATGGCTATTATTATGATATACTTAAGCACTCATCTACCTCTATTTATATCTAATGACCAACGGCTAAACGGCCCATGCAATTCCTAGAACAAATTAAATACATTTTATTTTCGTTTTCAAAACTTTATCAAAACCGATTATGAATTTTTAATTCGAAACCGGTCGTACTTTACAAATATAATTATACACCAGGCTAAGCATTTATTTATTTATTTCTATATATTAACTATTTGTTTGTATATATATGTATATGTACTTTCGAGTATTAATCATTTAACCCTTTCAGATCTGAGTTTTTTTTTTCATCAATTGTATAAATAGGTTAAAAAAATAATGTTCACCAATTTTTAGGTGGTTTTAATTATTTTTACCGAGAAAACAAGTAGGGTCACATAAGTGACCCATCGGCTTGTACGGAATAAAATTTCGTATACAAATGTTGTAGGTACACTATTTTTATTTTATTATATTTATTGAAAAATCGATTATTCTTTTTCGATAACTGCAACTTAAAATGCTTAATTCTAATAAAATAAATAAAAACTTTTTAAATTATTAACAGTAAAAATTAATTATTAAAACCTTAATATAAAAATAATAAAATTTTGAATTTTGAACCGTATATAACGTGGTATTAAATGTTATATAATCAAAAAAATCTTCTTGAAAATACGGATTAAAATAATCTATTGGTGAAGTCATAGATGTAGGGTGAACTTCATTTTCTAATTCATCTAATTTTAATGTTAAACTTTGGAAAGGTTCATTTAACCATTTTATATTTTGCTTATTAGTAATTGGAAAGTTATTTTCCAGCGTATATTCATTAAAAGTAGTATTATTACTATCAGAGACGTTTGGCAAGTCACAGATAACATCCTCATTTTTAAATTAATTTAATAAATCCTGAAATTCATCATCGGAAAAAAAATCATCCTCATCATCTATACTCCCAATATCAGAATTATAACCGTCCGATAATAATTCTAAAATATTACATTCTAGTAATTTACGAGACATTTTTTTTTTTTTTTAATATTAATTATTATATAAATATTAATTAGTTATTAATAATAACTATTAGGGTGATCGCCAGGGCCAGATTGGCCCGGCGAGTTACCGAGCAAAACTCGGTGGGCCACGACAATTTTTGGCTTTTTAAGTAGTGAAAGGTCGCTAACAGAAAATATTAATAGTTTAAAGTTGAAGATAAGTGCACCTATTGAAATATACGATTAAAAAAATTTGGACAAGGGCCGGCAGTTAGTAAGTGTGCCGGTAACATACAGAAAACTCGATGGGACGAATTTGTTCAATCCGGCCTTGGTGACCGCACATTGGTAAAGCAAAACTGCTTTAAAGCGTCTAAAAGCACTTTATTGTGACTTATGAACTATAAAATATTTATATTTTATGGAAAACACACACACTGATAAAGCGCAGTCAAAACAAAACATTTTTGACTTTAGTCATGACTAATATTGCTTTATTAAAATAAAACGTGCGCTATTTTAATTAGTCATAATAAAACAATTACTGTATGGTTATATCAAAATGATGCCAACAATTATTTATTTATGCTAAATTGTCTACAATATAAAAGTATATATATATTATATTTATACATGTACATAATTTTGATATACACTATATACTATATGTATCATCTCAAAAGTTTTAAAAATTAAGTAAATAAGTAGAAGGTACCATATTATGTGTATAATATTATTATTTATTTTATTCAATAGGCTTATAAAATGTCTGTTGAGCATGAAATTAACTTCGAAAATTTAATAACGTTAGTCCAAAAGCGTCAGTCTCTGTATGATTACAAAAACAAAATTTATTTTTTATCTGTTTCTTATAAAAGAAACCATAAAATAAGAATAGCAGCGTCCTCCTCGTCAGGTTATTGACGACTGGCTTTACTTTGATTTGACTATGTTTTATCTAGTGTGCGATCATAATGCTTTATTTTAACTAAAAGCAAAATGACTAAACATGACTTAAATTCCTTCAGTCAATTTTGCTTTACCAGTATGCGTTTTTAGTTTTACACAATAAGGTGCTTGTGTTAAATGATCGGCGAGCCGCATCTGCAAAAGTATACCCAAAATAAACTTTGAATACAGACAACGATATCGCTTTTATCTCAGTTATCGGAAACAGACAACCGATTTAGAATCAACCGTTGTAGAAAACTTAAATAATATTCCCAAGCAAAAATTATCAAAGTAGTAGTAAAGTATCTAAATATGATCATAATATTATGACTTGTGTGTGTGTGTGTGTGTGTGTGCAGCATGTATATAATACGTTTGTAGTGTTTATATAAACTATCAATATGTATTGTCAAAATTCTAAAGTATAAAAATGTTAAAGAAAAAACCGTGTTTCATGTAAAAGTTAATTTACCATCTCAGGTTCTGACCCCCAAACCCCCCCCATGGATACGCCACTGCTTGAAATTATTTTAAGAGTTTATAATGTAATTTGGTACATTGTAGGTATAGGTACCAATGATAACCACGATGTATAGTATCGAAGCAGCTTGTGCCTTGTTTTTTTCAAAACTTTATTTTGCTATACTTTCAAAAGCTCTGAGATATAATTATTATTATAAAATAATAATATTAATTTAATTCGTTAACTAGATAATATTTTTAATGAACAATTCATGGCTTCGATGTGAAGAAGAGAGTTTTGTTAAATAAAAGTTCGACTGCATAATGTATCTATCGTATAAATACGACATTCTCTTTCCGCTGTTGTGGAAATTATAAACCGTCACACAGCTATATCGAAATTACTTCTCATTTCCCACCACAGGATCGAGGTCTTGTTCGAATACATCCTATATTCGTAACTATACTTTCGTCTTATATATATATATATATATATATATATATATACATAGAGTTTGTGTTGGTCGTATGGATTTTAGGGTTGCTCCGTACAGGGGCAGACTGGCCCGGGCGGAGAGGCGGAGATATACGCCTAGACCGGTAGGATTATGAATAATTTAGGTTACCTACTACTTTCGTCTATTTACATCATAAGCGAATATTGTTAGTTTTTTGTTATGAAAAATCGTATTTTAGACAAAGACAATACCTACAATAATTATTTGGTATTATTGTAATTCAAATGCAACAGAAATTATTGTAAGAATATATGTATTACATAAATATATATACATAAAATATAAACAATGTTGACTTATAGTTAAAATTACATGAGAAAATATTATCCAAGATTAAAATTATGTTTAAAACGATAATATGTTTATCAGCAGGCAGCGGCTTTGTATTACAAATAATAGGTACTATTAATAACCGAAAAAATACGTAGTAGGTACGTATCATATAGATACGGCCGTCAGCCACCATACATAATTATCGATACCGATTAAACTTTATCAGATATTTTTTGTTTTGTATTTTTTATATTTAAAAATTATTATTAAACTATTACGAAATAATAAAAATTAATATTAATAATATTAAGAATTCAATGTTTAAAAAACCAGTTAAAAAGGGAGCTGAAAAGTATCGCATAAAATGAACTGCTGAATTACTTAGTTGTGGAAATGACAAAAATCAGCGAAAGCTTAACTTTTTAAAATTAAAGGTAAGATGATGGCTGATTTTTTTATATATTATTAAACACTAATTTGACTATGTACCTAAATTTAAATTCTGAGTGTTTCTTATACTTCAGCTTAGAAGTCACAATCGTTTTACTATCAAAAGTTTAAGTATAAAACTTATTTATATTTTTAATACAACATTTTCTTTAGGACCATACAAACAGTAATATAAATGATATAGTTAAAAAACCAATGAATTATAATGTAGATGAATATTTCAATAATGATCAAGAAATGAGTTTACCTATGTTTTTACGTAATTCAATCAAAGATAAATTAATTAAAATTAGTTAAATAGGTTCATACCTACATACTTACATATTATTATTAAATAATTTTAATTGTTAAATGTACCTATATAATACCTATTTATTTATATACTGAAAAAATTGTTTATGAAAATATTTGTGTTAATATTTGCAACGCATTCCCACTTGTTGAAAGTAGTGTGCTTACTAATGTTGATGAATTAGAAAGTAATGAACAACCTGTGAGTTCTTAAATCATATTAAATGTACTTATATAGTACCTATTTATTTATATACTGAAAAAATTGTTTAGGAAATTAATTGTGCCTATATTTGCAACTCAATTCCATTTGTTGAAAAAATTAAATTCTAATAATTTAGTTACCTACAGTATGTTTTGATATAAACTATTGAAAAATTTTAATTTAATAATTACTTAGTATTACATTTTTTAAACTCTAATTTGTTTGTCAATCCTTGCAAAACGAGCAGAAAGTAGTTTAAGTAAGAAGTTAAAGTAAGTTAAGTAAAGTTAAAGTAAGAAGTTTTTGAATAATGAAATTTAGACATAGTTTTGTGAAAATAACATAGTTTTAGTCTTGTGCACGAATGTATAAAGTATTTTTATGTTATTCTATTTGCACCGCAATGCAACATTGCCTCTAGAAATAACCTAATGAATTGAATGAGTTTTAGAAATTGTTAAAATAAAAACTAAATAGGTACAGAGATATGATGAAAAAAAAAAAAAATGGAAATTTTCATCGGTTGAATAGCAATTGTATAAAAAAATGTTGGGCCGGTCATATCTTTCTCCACCTGGGTCGAAGTACTCTCAGTCCGCCCCTGGCCCCGTATAATTCAATTACTCTAAGAAAAAGCCCTAGGACAATGTAAGAAATCTACATTTTAATATAAACTAATAAAATTTTAATTTTAATCTTAGGTTTTAAAAAAATTAATTGCGACAGTGGCATATATAAGGGCATATATAAGGGCGATAGTGGGCTACAGCCCCCCAAAATGTTTTAAAAAACTTAAAAATTGTTTTAAACGTATGTAATATTTTAATGGTTCTTTATGCTTATTTGGAATTTGCGTCCAACGTCAAATCGTTTTAGGACATTCTGTAAATAAAATGTATATAAGTACCTACTGTGTCTTGTTAGTAATTCTTAGATATCAGTGGTAATTTAACTTTGTCCATAGTAGCCCATCCCGAAAATATTTTCTGTATATGCCACCGCATTGAGTAATACATAATTGAACATAGTGAGATAAATATGAAAGATGTTTCGGGTAGGTACTCGACAATTACTCGATAGCCGAGTACTCAATGTCATAATTAAGATTCTATCCTAACCCGGTACCCAATGTTACACTGCATTTTTACTCAGTACTAAGCGTAACATTGAATTTTTATTTGGCCCTTACCCAGTACTCAGTGTAGTGAGGGGCAGATCTATAGGGGTGGGGTTAACCTGGAGGTCAGTTTACCTACAGTTAATATTTATTAACAAAATTAATCTCTTGAAGACTTTTTATTTTTTAAGTGTGCCGACTATAGGTCAAAGTTATTACTAGACTAGGACAAATGCCCTAGTTGCCATCACCCAAATTACATCACTGGTTAAAATGTATAGAACAGTTAAACATCTCTAAGCTGGACCCTGTGTAAAACTCCATAAAATAAAATAAATGTAAATGTTTTCCATCATAATAATGAATAAACATAAAAAACACATATTTATATGGTCTTATTTTTTTTTATTACAAAGTATATACTTATATTCTAATTTCAGCCTTAATAAGTGGCCTCTTAAAAATAGCTTGATCCACAATTATCTAACTGGGTGTAGTAATGAAATTTTTACTCGGCTAATACTTAATATCTGGTTTGTAATTAATTTTTTACTTGGAACATCTCTAATAAATATTATGTAATATTTAACCTTTTACTTTATACAACTTAAGTATAATATAATATTATTAACAAATATTTTATTCTTGCTTTTTTGGTATAAACATATGAATTTGGTCAGTATATCCAAAGCCAACATAAGGTTAGATTAGATTTTATCTATACTAAGATCATTTAAATATATAAATACAATGAATTACTTTTTTATTTTTAATAACTTCTCAACAATGTATAACCAGCTACCACATTTTATCAAAATTCAATTTATAAACAGTCATAGAAAATAAGAACTTAGATGTTATCATATCAATACTCAATATATTCTATAATTATTATATTTTATTGAAAACTGTAAACAGTATTAAAACAATTATAAAATAGTTAACCAAATGTTATTTTTACTAAATTAGACAGGTAGTTTAAACTACAGGTTGTAAACTGTATAACATAAACATTTATAAAATTTTTATTGAATTTGGATTTTAATTATATCAATCAAGTTGATAATTTTTATCACTTAAGTACTCAAAATAATTTATTAATTATAAATTTGTAAGAAAAATAGTTTCACATTTTATTCATATTAACTATACATTCAACTGCTCTCATATTTTAGTTGTTTTGTAGCTTATAAAAAGACTACTCTTTTAATATTAACAACTTTACTTTAAGTTGAATTAATTACAATAAATTATAAAACTGTATAGACCCATTTTTATAATAAATAATCTAATTTAATTTATGTAATAAACAATGTAATATATTACGTATTGCAGTGTTTGTCATCTGCTGTATCGTGACATACTGATGTATTGTGAGGCGAGTCTAATTATGCTGTAAAGTATACTCGAAATGTAAATTGATATTATTAATTATATTTTTAAAACTTATAAATTTAAGAATTCTGATTTAATCATTTTTAATAAATATTAACAGTTTTCTTGCTCGCCCTAAACTTAATTTTTTCATGCTATTACAAGTATGAAATATTTTAAAAGTATGCCCCTAACTTTTAGATTCATATAAATTACAACTTATGATAAAACCAATTATTATACATACATACAATTAAAAAGGTTGTATGGTGTGTTTTAAGGTTAGGTTAGGTTTAATGTTTTAAGGTGTGTGAATAAGTCTTTCCCGTTTTTTTTCAAATTTTGAGCCTTTATTGTGAAAAAATGGTTACAAATGAATTATTGAAAGTATTGGCCATCGCTAGCTACAACTTTTCCCCATCTTTCTGGCAACATACGAATCCCGTTGCGAAAAAATTCGACCGGTTTGGCCTCTATCCAGTCACCCAATTTCCTTGCTTTTGGATCATTCCCATGGCTTTCAAACGTTTGGAAATGGTTGTTCGGTCAACTCCCAATGCTTCAGCAAGTTCTTCTTGCGTTTGACACGAATCTTCATCAAGCAAAGTCGCCAATTCTTGATCTTCAAAGATTTGCGGCCGCCCGGAACGCTCCTTGTCTTCCACGTCGAAATCGCCACTTTTGAAGCGTCGAAACCATCCGCGAACACTTGAATCATCGACATAACCTTCTCCATAAGCTTCCTGAAGCAACCGATGCGCCTCGGCAGCAGATTTCTTCAAATTGAACCAATAAAGTGAAACTTCCCGCAAATGACGTCGACTCGGCTCAAATTTCGACATTTTCACGATTACAAAAATTTATGATGCGAAAAAATTTCAACTAATGTGTTAGTGTTGTTGATCTGATAAAATTACATCAGTTATAAATTTTATCGTTAATGGACTGTATGAAATAAAGGAATAAAATATAAAATATAAATAATTAATTTGATGTTTATTAATAAGTCTTTTATTTTAAGTGCGGAGTCGGCACCTTTACAATTTAGAATACTTTTCCCGACTGAATATAATAAACTCAAAGGCCCGTCGGTACACTAGACCGGTTAGGCCGGTAATGATAACGACGCGGAACACAATCGATATCTATAGGTAACAAGTGTGGAATTGTTGACAGATGAATAAGCTTTGATTATGACATATGTAACCGTTAAATACTCGCACAGTATTGGTGGCGCCATCTCTTACAAAAAACGGGAAAGACTTATTCACACACCTGTGTAATAGTCATTAATCATAAATATTTCTCAATTAAAGATGAACATAGGTTTCAATTATCCTTAATTTGTAGTATATTTTTATAGCAGTTTATTTAGTTATTTAGTTTTGTAATAATATAAACATAATTTTAATATTAAGAGTTTACAATTTGTTTTAAATTATAAAATTATTCCAATTATAAATGTAAAATATTATTTATTATTTTCTTGTTTTTTTTAAGTACTTGAGTCTTGAGAAATTTCTTCTGGTACACTTTCTGATATCCAGTTCAAATAAGGAATATTTCCATTGTCAATCTATAACAAATAACATCATATTACGTTTAATTTGTCTATAATAAATATTATATTTATAAAATATGATAAATATGAACAAATAATATGATAAATACTTACTTTTGTAGAAATAACTTCGCAGACTTCATATGGATGATTGGACCTAAAATAAAAATGATTTTATTTTTTATATATTTTTCTATACTTTAAATATTATAATTATATTATTATTATATTATTACATTATATAATTATAACAAGAGTTTAAAAATATTTTCATTGCTACTTACTTTACATAATTAGTTAAATCATCTACTCTTGATGTACGAGTTTTAATAATCTAAAAATAGAAAATAATTAAATTTGAAATTCAAGTGAAGATTATGTTATGTTATATTATATTATTTTTTATAATTACAATTAAACTATTTTAATATTAACCAAAAGAAAATTATAATATTCAAAAGGATTAGAGCTTTCAAATTATTTAAACATTAAAACAGTTTTGAAAGATAAATAAAAATATTAATTTTTATTAACTTTGTACTGCCAATTTTAAAATACAATTAATTAATTTAAATAGTGTATTATTTTAAAAATTAAATGTAGATCGAATTCATAATAATTAAAAATTAATTATTTGCAGCGATAAAATTATAAAATTAAGAATTTTAAAAAGAATGTAAATTTAATTTAATTCTCATTTATTAGATTGTAAATTTTACCATTAATATTTCGGAATCTTCATTTACTTCATCTTTCCATTTATAAATTGATGTAATATTAGGAATTAAGTTTACACAAGCGGCAAGATTGTGCTTTACAATACCTCTGGAATACAAAAATAAATGTTAAAAAACTTTAGTTTAAAACCATTAAAAAATATATTAAAATTAAATATATAATTTCTATGTTTACAGTACTTTATTTGATGAAATTATTATCCATTAATATTTAAAAAAATGTAAATAGTGTACTTATTTTACTTTTATTAATAAACAATAAATATTTATTTTATTTATTTATTTGAATAACAGTTCAATTAATAAAAAGAAAGTTTTCTTAAAATAAAGAATTAAAGGAAGATCATTCTTAATTAAATTAATTTTTGCAAAAAAATATAAGGAAAAAATTCCTAATAATTCTATAAAAACTGGGTGTTTAGTGTATGCACGCTTAATATTTCTATTAAGCCACCAATGAAATGCATGATAGTCACGCAACAAGTTGAGTATAATCTATAAGCTGAACACTCAGTAAAATTGTATTGAAAAGAAGAACTGTTGGTTAAAGGTTTATAAAATTTGTTAAAATTTTCTATGGGACAAACTATAGATGAGGCCAACTTACTGAGCCAAAGTCTTTGCCAATTCAATCGTCGGCGCAGTGACATGAACGATGGAATGCAATCCGGATTTATACATGATGTTATTGAGTCTATCGGCTTAAAAAAAATAATAAACCTGTGCAACAATTTGTTACACGATACTTCACGATAAAAATTATATGCTCAGTATGACTGTTCAGAACGAGACACTATTTCGATGGATGACAGTTACGTATTATTTGAATTCAAATAATTATTTCTTTAGATTATAAAGTATATTAACATAATATCATTATTTATAGTTATTAGTTGATTACGTTTTAGAAATATCGGGGAAAATATTTCAAACAATTAAACGTTCTCGTGTTGAACAATAATAATAAATGGGTACGCAGTAATCATTTACCACGACCTACTGATAATAGTCTTTATCAAACGTTTCATCGATTCCGCCGAATGTTTTTTGTACATCAGTTCCTGATGAAAATAAAAGTGAAAAATGTATGCTATGGACAGTGACGGTGCTAGATTTTGCGAGGCCCTGGGTAAAATAAATGTTGGATCTTATAATTTATATTAATAAAATATTTTAAGTTCAGTTAAATCAGAACCACGGGCCCTTAATTATATTTTAAGGCGCGGAGCTCTGAGCAACTGCTCTTATTGCCCACCCCCTCACACCGTCCCTGGCTATGGATGTTATTATACGTTCTTCTTTTCCTTCGCCTTTTTCTTAACTATTTGGAGTCAGCCATCCTTGTCCTAAACCTCCATTCGTCTCGATTTTCTACATCTACGCACACACCAACATCATATATCATTCTCAGTCATATCTAACTATCTCTTTTTAAGTCTTCCTCTTTTCCTTTCAAAGTTCATTTTTGATGTTTTTATACATTAATAAATAAAAATAATTATCTTATTTTATTTTATACTATTTTGCATTTTATAGGTACCTATATTATCTCAATATAAAATCCAAAAATATAACGTCTGATATACTACATATATTGCGTCAATATAGGTCCGCAGTCTACTTTATATTTTTAAAAATAAAATTTGTTTTCTCTCTCTTGTTGTACCTAATTTTTACCAACCAATAATTGTCTTCTCTAATTTTTTTCGTTTTCTAAAGTTGATATAAAAAAAAACGCAATGGAACTATCTCGAACTCCGGGATCTTGAAGTTTCTGTTGGTTGAATTTTTTTTTCAGTCCCGATCATTCAATATTGAACTTACGTATTAAGTATTTCGGTACATTGAATTTCCATATGTCCAATTTTTTTATAAGTCGAAGTCATTTATCAATGAATTAAAAATAATAATTTATCAATTAGATAATTATAATTCAGCTATTGAGCAATAACGGCGTTAAAGTTATACGGACTTATATTTATGAACCTCGAAGATACGTCCAACAACAAACAGGAGTTTCTGATAACATTTTTTCTACACTTCATAGTTAAGATAGTTTTATTGAAAATACTTTTAATACTAAACAAAAACAAACAAAAATGACAGATTTTTTCCTTTCATAGAAAATAATGTCAACTTACTCATATTACGAATACTAATAAAATGTATATATAATAAATACACATTTTTCCCCATAATTATTTTGTAAATATTTCACATTTTCATACCATTTCAATACAGTTTTTATTTAATTTACAATTATTATATTGGAATTAAACGAAAGAAGATATTTCAAATCTTGATTCAAATAATACAATTGCTATTACTTTTGATATTATGTAAATTAATAACTTGCAAAATAATTTAGCATATATTTCCAACAATTTTTTTTTTTGGTTAAAATATTAGAAACAATGAATCTAACAATAATTGAAAGTCTTGCAATAGTGGTAAATGCAGAAATTCAATGAAATTAAGTTCAAGGAGAATAATAATAATTAACTAAACTACGTACTGGGTAATACGTTGGTTTACAAAAAAATTAAAATTATTAGATATAATCTTACTAATATAAATGAAAATATGTCAATTTATATTGAAATAACACCATCCAATATATGTGGTATGAAATACAGTGAAAACTGTCTAAAGCGGAATTGCATGGGACCAACAAAAAATTTAGCTTTAAGCAGTTTTCCGCTTTATTCAATAAAACGGAAAAATTCCGGATTATTCAATTCAAATAAGTACCAAAGAATATTATTTCAAATTATTGTTTTAAATAATATAATTCATTAAAATTTAACTAAAATATAGGTTTTACAATTCATTAAATTTAAACTGGAATATAGGTTTTTTATTACATATTATATACTAAAACAATAAAACATGACATATAAACATTTAGAATTTCCAAAAAAAAACTCTAGAGTTTTTTGTTTTGTCACGGTTGCTGCTATTTTTTCTTCTGTGTTATATTTTGACATTTTAATATTTAATATGATAAATGGAAGATAAAATTAAAGGTGTACGTACGACTGTTGGTGTAAGGCTGTTTTACAATTACAAAGAAGAAAGTTCGTATCGTTTATGCGATAATATGCATTGTATGTACATATATTGTACGAATATGTATAGGACAATTTTGTCTTCTTTATCTATCACTATTGTAAACGATGTACATTGTACATACGCCTATCTACATTTTATACCTTATTTTCGTTTTATAGTACACACGCGTGCGCCATTTTTCCGTTTTATGCAAGGTTTTTACTTGCATGGGACTTACAAAATTGTTCCGTTTCCGTATTGGATAGTTTTCCTTTTTATTCAGGATCCGCTTTAGACAGTTTTTACTGTATGACCCATTAACCTTGGTTAACGTTGAATGTTACCTCAGCCGCTACGAGTTGATTTTGAAATCTAACCGCCGTACATTAAAATTTGAAAATCTTTAAATGTACATCTTATCCAATTGTTCCGAAGAAGATAACAATGAAGATGATTATATGAATAATTATAAATTAATAATTAAAAATTAATGTAAAATACCGATTTTTTTTGTTAAATATTTTACGTTTTTTAATACATATTTTAGCAAAAATAAGAACATAAATATTTACATATTTTGACTTATTTATTACATTAAAATCCGCGCCCTAACAATTATTATTCTACTGCCCCTTACAATAAAGCCTGATCCCAGCTATAAATGGTAAACTAGTTTATTATCCACTATAATATATCGATAATATGTATAGATATATTTTAAACTACCGTTTGCCGCCATTACCGCAAACATTCGACAATCAAATGTTTTTCGTTATCAATCGTATTATTTTTGATAAATCCGTCTGTAACTTTGATAGTATTTTCACTGTTTGACATTCTCTTTAATTTTTGTTATCGATTCATATTCAACTCAGCCGAGACAATTTGACTTAAGAGGTAGTTATATTTTGTTAATTTATATTTTGTTCCCACGTCATTGTAATAGGTTTACGAGTATTTCAAACTTTTGTATTTCTGTTATTGATTTACTATTATGTTATAGCCAAATGTCATATCGTGAAAATAATAATCAATTATTTATATTTTTACGTTTCTTAGAAGAACTCATTACTTCCTACAAGATGGGCCTGGTCTCGCATGTCGTGAGTATAAACATATTAACAGTCTTAAGTTACTCTAAACTTTACTCTTAGCTATTGTTGATGGCGATGTATGCAACATTTAGTCTATGTTTTATATTCTTCTAGAATTTATGTGGCTGTAATTATAATTTTAATAAATAAGCTAGCGTGTCCCATAAGTAATTGAGTAAAAAAACTTTGTGACATACTTATGTCAAAACCTTTATGTATTTACAGTATGCCCATGAACAAAACCATTGATAGCCTTATTTCGATTCGAGAAAAAGTGTTGTTTATAGATGATTGATTATCCATCCAATAGTGTTATTATAACACTTATTTAGCAATGTAACCCTGTTTTTACTAGTGCACAGTAGGAAAATGTAATTTGTAATACTATGTCTTTTGTTACAAATATGACACAACTCCATGCAGTTTAATATGAATACAAAGTGTGAAGTGAAAAGTCATTGAGAGTCCTTCCTGTTCTTTTAACATATTTGTGTGTAGTTTCAGCAGTCACTGCATTAATTGTCACTTATTAAATTAATCACTTCATTAACAAATTTTCTTCAAATATTAATAAAATTTGCAGTCAAATTCAAGCTCATTTATTTACTAAGATTCATGCAATAACTTTATTATCATTCTTCCTGTTATTGAAATCAGATATAAAGTTACATCTTGCATGGTATGATAACTTATAAATAAATAATTTAATTGCATATTTCTGTATTTAGTATTTTAGTGTATTGTTAATTTCACTATTCATCATTATGTTTTGTGTATCTTCCTATTTTTAAGATTATTTTCAAAGGTATTCCGCATAAAATAATAATTTTTAGTATTCTGTGATCACAAAAAGTATAAGAAATACCTTAAAGTATTTTTTTTATGGACCGATAAAAAGTATTTTTTGAGCAATTTCTAACCTTAATGATTTGTTTCATATTAGTTCATGTCCCTATTCATGTTTATTAATGTATATAGTTTGAATTTTTCTATTTTAGGTTACACTTGGCTTAGGTGTTTACACAGGAATTTATTTATCACAAAATTACGATGTAAGTTAACTTATCCTTATAACTTTGTATTCAACTTTGTATTCTCTTTAACATTGAATTTTCATAAAACTGTTTCAGATCGCAAAAGTTGATGAACCACAAGTAGTAATAGATAAAGTAAAAAACTATCTAGAAACAATATTGAAGCCTAAACCCTAGATTATGTCAAGTTATTATAAATAATAAAATATATTTATGATGTGAATAGTTGATTTACTCATTTTTTCTTCTAATTATCAGTGTGTTTATTTAAACCACAAATAGTATTATAATATTATAATATAATTTATTGTTGGTTATTAAATTTGTAGTACTTTGTTACAGTCTATGAATAAAATGTTAGTTACTTACCGAGGTGATAATTAATATACATTTTCAATATTTATCTTCCCAACTGGTGTGCTGCGAGCGCCCTTTAAATGTGCTGCAATAAATCTATAAATTGTTTTATAAGTATATACTAACCAGCCTATTATTGATATTCGAGATGAAAACTGATCGAACTAATCATAGATACATATAATATTATTTATTGTAAGTATGCCTGTCGCAGCCGTCTCGATCGATCGATTGTATTTTAATATATTTCACAATAAACAACCTTATAATAGAGTAGACTGTAAATAGTATACATATATTACATATATATATATATATATATATACATATAATATGGTTCACATAATACCATATAGTATATAGATTGGTGTGCTGCGAAAATTTTATTGGAGATGAAGTGTACCGCATTGTTAAAAAGGTTGAAAACCACTGATTTAGGTAATAATATAATAAAATAAATTATTTTTAAATGATCATATTTATTGTAATTTAAAACAATCAAAATATTATTTAATACAAATGAAATATAATACAATATTAATTTAATTAAAAAAATTATGAAAACTATTAAATATTATTAGTTTGATAAGTTAAAAATGGTATGTTTAACAGAACAACGAATAAATAATATCCAACAAAAACTAAATTTTTTTATTACAAAAAAAAATGTAAAAAAATAGTAAAGTAAATCTTACACATGACACTATTAAGGTAGAGAATCTGTACCAATAGAATTTTAATGTAAAATCTTATATCACACCTGCTAATTCTCACCTAACTTCTTAAAATAATAAAAATAAAATTTGGTAAAAAATGTTATACACATATTAACTATTGTTGTAATTGTACTTCAGCATAGCATATTTATTTTTCTCTAACTGACAGAGTTATATAATAATGTGCCATATAATTAATTATTAGGTATTAAACTATTTTATTAAAAAATATAATTGCTCACTGTGTACTTTTTTTTTCTTTTCAAGAACTAATTTACTATAATTTAATTTAAAATTGACCTATTTTAAGTCAAATTTAATAATATAGTTATAGTTCGCATAGGATATAAAATATAATTTTACTTTTTACTTGAATATGAATAAAAAAACAAAATTTGATATTAGAACTAAATATCCACAATTATAATTTGTTACAAGAATAATTTATTTATTATGATTAAAGCAAGTCCAATAACAATAGTTATGTGGAGTGTTTATACTAACAATAATTGATTTTTCAATTAAATTAATTATAATCATTTATTATCATGCAAAATCAAAAACACACATATTTTAAAAGCCTTCAAAATAAATAATATAATTTTACTAAACCATGGTTATCCTAAATTAATTGATTTGGGAAAAGAGTAAAAAACTAATTTAAAACTATAACCATTGAATTAATAACTTATTTTAAAATAAAATAATTAAAATATCAATACATTTCTTTTAAGGCACCCTTACTAAGGCTTTTAATACAATTAGTTGTCTTTGGATAACTAAGTGTTACTTAAACTACGATTATAAAATATATCTATACTTCAAATGTATTATCATAAAATATTACAAAAAATAATTAAATAATTAAAAAAAATAAAGTGATAATACAAAATTAACGAAAATAATTTAAGTGTAATTAAATATTCCAATATAAATTTCCCTAAAAAACATAAAAAAAAAAAAAAAAAAAAACAATAAAATCACAATTTTCATACAAGGCAGTTAATTTATCGATTCCATTTTATAACAGCTTAATTTAATCACAACATTGATTAGCTTAAGACAAATCCACCTCCCGAGTATTCCATTCTTGTTGGTGGATTGATAAAGGCAAGCCAATCTGATGCATGAGTTGGTAATAAGCCCATAGACTGACATTTATATAGTGCTAAAATAATATTAACACAATTCCCAATGAAGAATATAAACTTTTGACCCCATGCTTGTGTTCCTTCAATAGTTTTAAATGCTGAAAAACATTTTACAATCATATTTTAATATTAAAAATGCTTGAAATCAAATTGAAAATATAAATTAACATAATAGTATATTAAAAATCAAAAGTAACATTACAAATTACAATTATATCTATGTCTATCAAATCTCAACAAAGAAAAATTATATTTCAATGCTAATAGTTATTGTACTCACTTTAAACTTATTACTGTTATAGTTAATAACACAATTTTATACAAAATAATTTAAGTATTCTAATTCTAGTTTATTCAAAATTTTTGGTTAATTCAGTTATAACAGATAAAATATAAATTTCTTTAAGTTTTATTAAAATGTTATGTATATTAAATATTTTTCAAAATTAAAAATTAATATGTGTAATTAGTGTAACTATGAGGCAATTCTCATACATAAATTTAATTTTATAATAATTACTATATAATACTATACAAATATTATAACTAAAAAGCAATTGTAAAAATATTTCATGAATGTCTAATCATACATAAATAGATAAATTCATGTGCATTTTCTTAAAAATAATTTTGTAATTATAATGTTACAAATAATACTGTACACTCAAGAACGAGTTCAAGTTTTGGAGTTAAAACAACTATTATAACACTGTTACTTTGTTATTACTTATTGTATATTATTATTATATAGAGAAATATTAAAACATTTTGATTATTAAATTTGAGGAAGGAGCAATAAAAAATATAATGCATACAAAAATAAACAATTTTTAAGCAGCACCAACCAGGAAAATTAAAAATATATGACTTCCGTATGATTTTTATTTTTAAGCATAAAATGCAAACACTAAACAACTTTTACTATTTATTTAACAATAATATAAAAAAAATTGTTTTTGAATTTTAAAGTACTTTGTTCATCTTAATTAATTGAAAAAAAAAATTAATGTTTAGTTTGCACTCAGGTTTGATGGCTCACGCAAGCGTTCAGTGTGACAGTGTATGAATAAATTAAATATAATTACCATTTATCTTTTTGAGCTAATTTTAATCATAATCAAATTTTTTATTTACAATGAATATATCAAACAATTCAACTATTAAACATTTTGTGAAATAATATGAAAAATAACAAACAATAATTGGCACAAAAATTGACTTTAAGTCAATTTATGGTACTCGTCCCATATGGTATCTACCATTATTTTATGTTGGTGAAGCATGATATCAACACATATTTACTAATAATTATTTATTAATGATATAATAGCGTTAATATTAACATTTTAACGTATAAATGCACTTTTTAATATTACTTTAAAGATAACTTTATATTTATTTAAAAAATACCATGTGAATATTTATTATGATTACAATAATGCATCATATATTTCCCTTTATTATTAAGCCTTAAATATTTTATTTAAAATTAAAAATTATTTTATTACTTTAGAAAGATTTATTAAGCTTTACGAAATAATATATTGTATATTTGTATAGATCTAATTACAATTATTTCATAAATGCATATATAAAATGTATTTTAACTTTTTTCTAAATTAACTTTATAAATGTTATATTATTATATAAGATATTATAATTACTATTTAATAATGGTTTTAACATTTATATAATATCTCGTATACATGAAAAATATTTAATTTAATGAAATAAAATTAAGGTGTCAAAATATATTGAATCTAATTATGGTGTTATTGAATCGGTGTATAGTTATTGTTAATTTGTGAAATTACAATGAAATTCACAAAACAATAAATATGTAAGTACAGTAAAATCCACTTCTATCAATGCATATATTCCCAGCCATGGTAAGTCTCAGTTGGTTATATATCTCATGTGTAGTAATTTTGTTTATATTATGATATCAGTTACAACAATAATTCGTAGGTAATGATATTATATTAGTTTTTTTATTTGCCCATAACAATAAAAATTGGATTTTTCAAAAAAGTTGTAAACATACACAATTAAATTAACATATTGTATACATAATACATACTTTTTTATATTTATAAATATATTTTCTGTATTGTATAATTATACATTTCTAATAGAAAATATCTGTTTAATAAAAAAATTAAGTTTTTTTTTGTTACAACAAAGTTCAAAAAAATTATCTGATTCTCTAAGTTCCTAGAACATTACAAGTGGATTCTAATGTACATTTAATTTGAAAAATATTTTGAGATATTAATTATGTTAATATTTACTTACTTGTTTGTAGTGTAAACAATGCTTTGACTGGTCGAACAATCAACATACCAACCATCATGATTGGAAATATGGATATTGAGTTTCCAGCCATGTACATAATAAATAAATTCATTGGCACCTATTTGATCCAAAGTAGTAACAGTGAGTTAACAAATAATTAAACCAGATGGGCACTCAATTAAAATACACACTTGTTTGAGTGGTCCTAAGGCTAGATCCCAAGATTTTTTGATAATTAGTCTATTGGATTCGCTATCTTTAGACAATTCGGTACCGTTCTGACCAGCTGACTGGCTGTACCCAGGCGGGCTAACATTGTCAGTTGATTTATCATGTTTGCTTCTGAAGGTTAAACAAACATCAAGACTAGAGTAATATGTGAAACAGTCGACTATGAGATGACTGTTACGTTGTCGATGGACAACAAAACGGTAATCGAGACTAGCACCACTTGAATAACTAGTGCTTACCTGGTAAAATCCAAGGACCATTTGAACGATTTGTTTTTTATCAAAGTCATCTCAAACGACGTTCGTTTCTGGACGCGACTAACGATCGGGTGTTAATTTATCTTCAGTTGACGATGTTTAGCGAAAATGGATTTGCCGTCGAATCGGTAATGGTACGGGACGGTCGAATACTTACGGCCGTAGACGAGTAGACAGACTAAATGGCCCGACAATTGGTGAAATTCGACGGCAACCAATAATGAGCACGCAACACACGAATAAGTGCTGATCATGTAAGCCGCAATGTGTGTACGCTACGACGGCTGATAACTGAGACAGACGATGATAACAACGACCCGGTGCCCCTCCACGTCCGCACGTCCGGTCGACCGTCGACAGAGCGCGACAGGAACAGCCCATGGGCGGAACTCGGTGGAGGTGGCGCAACGACGGTTCGAGTGATTCGCGAGAACGCGTTCGAGCCCGACGTGTGCGATGTATCGTCGATGTGCATCTACCCAGTGCATCGTTTACCCCGGCGATGGAAGCGTAAATTGAATGCTCAGATACTGTTAGGCGAAAATTCGCTACGAACGAAAAACACTCGAGTTTTTCAGATACAGCAACATCGGGACATTTGGCCCGAGTTGAGCTACGCACGACCGTTTAATACGTTATTACCATTGCTACCTACTGAAATGGGTATAAAAACTATTTCGGTGTTGCGTTCATAATGAAATAAATCGTAATCATATGATTCGTTATAAGTCCAGTACGAACATATGTAATAATAAAATAGTATACGATTCGACGTGACGTGCGCGCATCGTAAGTTATCCTACACAATGTAGATACTTATCTAGGTATTTCATCTGAATAATATTTATTTATCTTTTATCTTAACCAGATGAAAATGTTGATATGCATCTAATGGTTATCTAAGATGGAAAATCATTATCTTTTTAGTATTTATCTAGATAAAATACATTAACTAAAAAAAAAAAAAAATTAACGCCCTAAATGCATGCAATAGGTAGGTACTCGATTATAAGTTAATATTTTGAAGTCCATTTTTTTAATGTCATACCAGTCATAAAATAATTAAAAATAATCTACTAACGTCTGTATAACTATCAAGTTTTTTACAGAAAAAAATTAACTCCCACTCTATAAATAGCGTATTTTCAAACTTTTCGTGGGAGGAGTTTTACATTTTTTCTAAAAAATAAATGTTTTTATGATATTATAAAAAATATAAATAAGGTATATATTAACAATTATATTATTCAATTATTATTATAAATATAAATCAAGAGTTATTTACAACCACATGTGGCACATCCAGCTTTTTTTTCGGGGAGGGGGGGGATTATTAAAAATTGTCATATATATTATATGAAAAACTAGTTGATTTAATATTTGTTCAATACTTTTAATAACTTAATAAAACAAATAGGTTATTTAAAAATTTAATAATAATAAACAGTTTGTAATATTATAATAAATAGGTAATCATTTTGAATATAAAATTAATTTATAAACTTATGTTCATTTTTCTCTTTGATATTTTTGCCAGTTCGTCGATGACATAGTTAATTTTCACATTCATGTCATGATGTATGTTTAATAAAGCCAAACCATTTAGATGAACTTGACCCGTTCAATTTCTTAAGTATGTTTTCAAACGACGTAGTGAAGAAAATGAACGCTCTCTCGTTGTCAGAGGCGTAATTGGGAAAAAATCTAGAGGGGGCAATATAATAAATATATTACTACCAAAACTCTGACACCCCTCCCCCTCATCAGTTAAAACATATTTTTATTATATGTATTTTATACACTATATCTAATTGTTTGATTTTATATGTCTTTTAACTCATTTTATGGTTTAGATAAACATAAATTGTAGGTAGCAGATACTAGGTGCCAATATTGTTAAATAATTACCATAAGAATTCATTAATAAAAGGTGCTATTTGTACTGTTGGATTATCTGGGGAGGCAAAATTATACCTTTATCTCTCAAAAAATGTTCAGAAGGGGCACTTGCTCCCCCCTTGCCACCCAAAATTACGCCACTGTTCATTGCAGTTGATACTGGTAGTGTTATAAATATTTGAATAAGTTTAGAAATTATTGGAAAAACATCAGGGTTTATATTGAAGTAGAGATCAATAGCATTAGTTTTCTCAAGTTCTATCGATGATAAAGTAGAGCATCAAGTATACCACAAGTTTAATTCTCCATTTAAAATAGAATTATTTATATTTAAATCAGTGCAATCATCAATCATTTCTTGGTATATTTCAACTAATTTTTTGAATTGATTCCTTATGTCTGGGGTTATTTCCATTCCTGTCATAGTTAAAATGCAAAGAAAACTACTTATAATACACTTATGTGATAATAACCTTTCATTCAATTGATCCGAAAAATTATCCAAAAATGGAATAAAAATAGATATTTTATAAAACTGTAATGGGGACTTACATTTACATTACAACTATCTTGCTGACGTTTATTTTGTCTTGTCAGACCTACAGGAATATCAAATTTTTCACAAACAGTTTCTACATTAGTAAATAATTTTTCAAATTCAATATCATAATTTTTTCAAATACTTTAAATATTTTTTTGGACATTGTGGATGCAGTTTCTAATGTAATTTCTAAGTCTAAACATTATTTTTGAAAAAACTTATGGCCAGTATTTTTACTAATATACATAAGGAACCTTGAAAATTCAATTGTTTTATTGCAGTTATAAATCGACTCGCAGCACTTGAAGAAACTTCATCTATCCAAATTTAAATACAATCTAAAGCATGTGAAATAGCTGGTTGGAGTTCCTCAAACAATATCACTGCATCGTAACAGTCAACCCATCGAGTGGCGCATAATGTTTTTAGCTTAAAACGTTTCATTTCTGGAAATTTATCCTCCATTGATTTTTGAAAAACATTTTGTCTCTTTGAATATGCGAAAAAATGTATTACATTTTGTATAGTACCTATATAGTTTCTAATTAAAGAATTTTTGCAACTATAAATAATAGCTAAATTTAAACAGTGTGCACTACATGCAAGTATAACGCTCCTGGATATTTATCACGAATATATTTTTGAACGCCATTATACTTGTCACTCATAGGTGCTGCACATTCTTAACCAGTTAAATATTGCATGTTGAGTCCCAAATAAGACATAGATTTTAGAAGTACATCAGATAATCCTTTACCAGACATATTATGAACTTTAATAAACTGCAAGAAATCTTCACGAGTATTTTTTTCAAATACGTCTACATAACGAACACATTAATGAAATTTGTTCTTTATTTGAGATGTCGGTTGTTTCATCTGCCAAAATGGTGAATGTTTTAGCATTATTTATTTTTTACAAATTGCTTAAGAATTAATTTGCTATACAATCCTTATGACCTCTTAGCGAAATTCTTTGCTGTCCGCAAAATAAAATAGTTTTAATTATAAGGCGAAGACGAGCTCTTTTTTTCTTCTCTTTTTTTAGCGCTACATTTATTTGTGTACAGACCGAATCTACTTTATTATTTTGAACTGCATAAAAGTTATCAAATTTTGACTGACTAAGTTTATGGTGGTAGTTATTTTCATGATCCTTAAATACATCTTTAGCTTTCTTCCAATTATCATATTTTTCTATCACTAATTTTCCCGGAGTTTGATGATTACTTTTTCCTAAGCCGTCCGAAGGTGAAAACAAAATACAAATATAGCAGTAGGCACTATCATATATTTTAAAATAACAAAGCTATCGAAATTCATGGATCCAAGTAATTTGAAATTTCAAGTTTCGTTTTTCACTTTAATTAGGGAATTTATAATTTCGTTCAGGAACCCACAATTTTTCCAAAACAACTTTTTTTTCATCATCAGACAACTAAAAATGTATATTGAAGTATAAAATAATTTCCTTTTTAAAAATATATTAATCTATGTATTTATTATTTTTAATTTTTGTGAAATATATTATAACAGCTAATGTAACACATATGTTATATATATATATAATCTATGTGATTTAAATACTGCAACTCTTATCAAACGTACCTATTTCATATTTGAAATATTCAGTGGCGGTTCGTGATTGTTTGATATGAGTGTGCGACAAAATATTAATCCACAATATACTTAATAGAAAATAGTATATGTAAAATGGAATTATAATATTTAAATAAATGTAATGCATTTTATAATAAAATAAATTATTTATTTTGTGCGATGCATTTTGTAGCACATCGATCAGTATTCAATATTAAGTAATATGTATAATACCTACATTTTATTAAATGTATCTAGATAAATGCAATATTTTTCACCCATTTTAGGTACAAATAAAAAATAAATATTTCTAAAATAGGTAACTGTAATTTCTAAATCATTTTTGAAATAATGTTTGAATACGATATTTATAATATTTATTTTCTTTTTTCAAATTTTTGTAAAGGTGCGATCGCACATAAGCTCGAGCCGCCAGTGGGAATATTATATTTATAAACATATATCCAGTGACAGAAAACAAATAATTTGCTACATTTCATAGATCTAATTATAACTTTTTTATTACTCAGACTACTCAGAGTCTTATTAGCATGTAGTAAAGCACTGGTACATAATATTGCAGTACGTTTAATAACATTTTAATAATACTAAATATTTATTATGCCCTTTTAGTACTAATGATAAATTAAATTTTATATTTAATATTACTCATATTATTTCATTAAAATCATTTTATTTTATATTTAAATAAACTATTAAAAACATAATAATTTAAATCTAACCTTTTTTCCAATATATTATGAAATATCCTGAGATGCATCGAAAGAAGTATCGGCATTATTTAGCCCATTTTGTTCTCTGGCAAATTTCTAACAGCTGTTGTTGCCAAAATAGATACCTCATTATTTGTTACAGCATTGCCTTCGGATAGTTTTGTCTTTTTTTGGTACAGATTCGAAATAATGAAAAATATTGTTTTGGAATTTTTTACTCGTTTTTATAATAATTAATTAATAATCATTTGAATAACTCG